ATCGGCATAGGAATTCCAAAGTCCACTATTCCAAAAACTAGGGACCTGACCAAACAAGGCATGCGAAGGAGGCACGTAGCGATCAATAAGCATCGGGTGCTCAAGCAGAAAGCCAACCTCAAGCCTAGTAACTCCAGCTGGCGGCCTAACCTTGCGACCTGCCGTCGCCACAGCATGCAACCAAATCTGTCGGCAAAGCAAAGCCGTTTCACGATCAACCTTCGACCGTTGTGCTGCTGACAAATCTGGAAGGCCATATAAGTCCAATGGCCCGCGCACAGGTGGGACAACGCTACTCCCATGAGCATGTGTGTCAAACGTACCACGCGGTGGAGCACCAAGAAGATGCGACACTTTGCCATGCACGGCACCCCAAACTAGAGCGCGCCAAGCAGGAGTGCGTAGCACATCTTGGTCTGAGCCTCTGGTAATGTCCAATTCCAGGACAGCCACATTCTTGGACTCAAGGTGCGAAAAGGGTTTAGGGCCTGGGGCTCCAGCGTACAGATGAACAATCCACTCTGGGGCATTGAGCAATGCACGACGGCGACGCCGATTGAGATGCGTCAAACCCTTTAGGAGCTCCCATCCTGAAACCTGAGCAACATCCTCAACAAGTCCCTGCAAAGCTGCTTGGGGAACATCTGCCAAGAAAGGCGCGGCCTGCAACGCTAGTTGGGCTGAATTGGTAGATCCAAGGCTCACATAGTCCTGCATGTGATCCCACCAGCTCTTTGACATCAAGGCTTTGACAGCTCGGATGCGAGAGGTACCTTCGGCCACATTCGCCTCCAGAGACTTCAAGTCCTCTAGCCGCTTTTCTTCTAGCTTGCTGATTAGCACCAAGGCTTCTGATTCCATGATCTCTGGACACCCACCTTTAACCCTCAAGCGAAAGGCACGACCCGAAGGAGCAATCAAACGGCATCGCGAGGCAGTCCAATCCAAACGATACCCCAGCTGCTGGATGACAGAACCCAGCGGCACGATGGTTTGGGCACTGGATGTGGGAGGCAACAGAAGAGTACCAGCAGCAGACAAACGCATAGCCGAAGTCTCCTTTCCAGCCAGTGACACGACAACGGGTTGCGCACTAGCCCATTCAGCTTCGGAACTTGCAGCGCGAAGGGCATGAGTGGCCCCACTGTCTACCAAAGCCAAAAAACTAGGACTACCATCTACTTCCAAAACCTGCCCAGGCTCAATGGCTGTGAGATGGATGGTCTTAATGCTCGCTTTAGGCTCCTCCTGTGCTGCAGGTTTGTCTTCAATCGCCGGAGGCTGCGCGGGAGCGGCTGGGGTGGATGCAGGAGGAAAGGCTTCGGAAGAACTGGCAGCTGCAAACATCATGCGCATAAACGCTGTGAAGTCCTCCGCTCGGCCTGGGCTCGCGCCCGGCTGGATTGCAGTAGACGCCTGATCAGCCGTTGTAGGCCTGTGGCCTGCAGCATTGTTGGTGTTTCCTCCACCTGGCTGTCCTTTCCCCTTTGGGCTTCCTCCAGCTACCGGGCAGTCCTTTTGGCGGTGTGCCTCAGAGCCACATGCTAAGCACTTTTTGCTGCGCTCCTGACGAGAAAGTCCTGACATGTCGTGGCTAAACGTGCACTTAGGACCCCGCCTACACCCCGAAGTACCCATGAAAAACTTGCAGGGCTTTGAAGCCTGCGGCTGCCCACTGGCCTTTGGAGATGTTCCCGGACTGGGCGTGCCTACAGCTCGAACCTTAGGGGCACTCACACCTGTGGCCTTAGAGACTGCAAGGGCTTCCATCTCTGCAAGCAAGTGCTTGTGGTACTCCAGGACTGCAGACGAAGTTGGTTGAGCATCCATTTTTAACATGGAACGAAGCATAAACGTTCGAAACTTCGCTTCTTCATGCTGCGCCAAAACTTGGCTAGTGATGGTAGTGAGGCTCTTGGACAAAATGGTCGAGTCCGGAGGTGACATGTTGCAACTTTCACAGCGATTGTACCAACGAATCCACTCACGCAAAGACTTCACGGCTGAGGAGGGATCAGATGCTGGAGTGGGCTGCATGAGATTCTTCTGAATAACCTCCTTTTCTGAACCTCCACCTGGTTGGTACGTGGTGTGCAAACGGAAAAGGATGGAAGGAGCTGATTGATTGCATTTGCGGGCCACAATGTCTGCTTTGATAGACTCTGGAACTGCCGCCATAAGCATACTACAGATCCTAAAGTTGACACGCGCCCATCGCCCTTGAAGCAACTCAGCCGGTACAACTGGCTCAACCTTTAGCCTATCCAAGGGTGATGACGAAATCCAAACCCCATAGGCCGTATCAACCACACCCAAAACCTGACGCCACCACTCTGCTGCTGTGTCCGAAACATCACCGACCAAACCCCCAATCACGACTAACCAATCTTGGTACAGAAGAGACCCTTCATCCGAAGTGAGCTCTGCCAAAGCTGGGAAACTCGAGATGCCTGGCTTAACAGCTTCAGGGTTGGTGGGAGAATTGCCGCCATCGCGTTCGGCACGAGATCCCTTGAGCATCTCTGACATGGCATCTTGAAGTTGATGCATCCCAGCAATCAGTATCTCACGATCTGTGGGTCCTGATGCACTCGCGGCTCCTGCTGGCAGTGTGCCTCTGGGTTCTGCTTGTGGCCTCTGCGGTGCAGGGCTGGAAGACCGCGCACCGGAACCAAGGAGCCCTGAGAACAAACCAGCGAAGCCCTGAGGCTCGGGAGCGGAAGGAGGCGGAGGAGGAGGCGGTGAGGATGAAGAAGGGGCAAATCCAACCCCAGTGTTGGCGACAGGATGCGAACCGAACCCACTATCACCAAACCCACTAAAGCCAACCTCCCTAGTACCCACCTGCTGCAACGCCGTAGCCTCAACTTCACCAGCCTGCTGAGACCGAATCCTCGAGAGTTCGGCCTCAGCACGACCAGCTCTCTCTTGCTCAGCTCGCAGTTGCTGCTTCAACCCATCAAGCTGTCGCGCGACTTCTGCCTGAATCGCATCATGCGGAATAGATGAGGACTCGGTGTGCGGAGGCCTGTCCGGAGACCCGGACCCGTAGAGCAAGGGAGCTCTTTGCTCCATGGCAGCAAGCTGCTGCGCGTTGGCACCAGTGAACAACGGCATCGGCACTTGACACTCATCTTGCAGGACGCGGCCTCCTCTCTCGAGGGGCTGTAGTGGTCGCGACGGCCTTGGAGGAGAAGTCAGTGGACTGGGAGCCCACCCTTGCGGCAGTGGCTGTACGTTCGCCGCGCCACCAAACAGAGACTGCACTCTTCCTAGCAACTGACTAGCAAAAGCCTGAGCCCCAGTCTGCATGACCGCTGACGCCCCGTACGCCGTTGATCTGGGCGTTTCAAAGCCCTCAGCACTACTTCCAGGATTCGCTGCAGATGGGTTGTACCCTGAGACGCCTGCGGCAACATTGATCTGAGCGCTAGCCATTCCACTTTCGGTGGCCACACTGAAACCCTGAGTCACTGCAGTTGCATCTCCATGTACCCCACTCGCATCAGCGACCTCCGTGGTAGATACTGCTTCATACGTAACGCCAGCTGTGCCCAAGCCTCCAACCTGGCCTAGTGTTCCATCGCCTCCTGTCCTACCGACTGCTGAAACTCTCGGTTGGCCGGCTGTTCCAACAGTTTCTTGTGGCAGCTGAGGGGATGGCACTGGACCAGCTGTGGAAGTCGATGGCCCCGACGACGCATCCATCATAGTTTGCTGGATTCCATCCCCAATAGGCTGCGCAAGCCCAGAGGGCGATGGCACTCCAACTCCGGCGGTTGTACCATTCACTGTAGCCTCCCCGCCTCCCCACACTCCAGGCAGAGAGGCCGGAGAAGCCACCGCTCCGGTTGCTTCTGGCCCAGGCGTTGGGCTCATCACCTGTTGAAGGTGTTCACCCTGGGTGGCCATACCCTGCAGCGAAGCTCACGCAGAATGTTTTCTATGGCTGGGCGCAGAGGCGACTCACGATCTCAACGAAGCAACAAGAGAACCGACAAACCAACAAACGACCTGTACAGCTTTACAAGTTGTTGGTTACAGTACACATGGCTCAAGAGGCTTTCCTACGCAGCCTTCCCCTAAGCCAAAGGATACAGGAAACACACATGTACAAGCCTACCTGAAGGAAACTATACAAGTGCCGGCAATCCCTTCAAGCAGACTACACACCTGTCTAACCTGATACCTGGGCATGCAGTGAGAAGCATTTCAACAGCTTTGTTTAGGGGTTTAGGGTTTGGGGTTCAGGGTTCAGGGTTTTTAAGTCCGCCATGCGCCACCCACACTTCTGCTAAGAAATTTAAACGATTCAGCGCTGCGCGTCGGCGCAGCCAGCGGGGTTCAGGGTTTAGGGTTGAGGGTTTCAGGTTTAGGGTGTACTTTGGTTTAGGGGCTTGGGGCTTCAGGGGGCAAGGGGTTTTAGGGCTTTCAGGGCTTAGGGCTTTCGGGTGTGGGGCTTTAGGGTTTAGGGTTTGAGGGCTTTAGGGTTTCAGGGCTTGGGTTTTCAGGGAACGTGTTCGTTCCTCCGGGATACTGGGACTGCCACCCAAGGTCGGGCGCGGGGTCCGTGGGCCAAGGATCATTGGGGAAAGGGCTCTAAGGGTCTACTGTAAATCAGGCTACCTGCTTGAATGGGCTTGCTGATCGGGATGAGGGGGAGTTCTCACAATGTATCAACCGAGCGCTGTTCTGTGCTTCACTTCCTTTCGGCCCACAAGTCACCAAATTCAGCACTGGCTTTCTCTCGATTCGGACGTCCAGGGCATAGATCAGTTGGCCATGCATACTTGAGTCTTAAAGCCCAAATAGATGCAAAAACATCCCTAATCCCACACCCCCCGTGAAGGAGAGGTCATTGCTTCACGTTCCTACGGCAATACAAGTCCTGCCCCCCCCCCCCCCGCCCCTTCGACCCCCCCAAGTGCAAAGTTCGCCCGGAAGTGGGCGACCTAAGCCTTGAAGCCAAAACCCGGATCCGGAAAGCAACACCAAGCCACACGAGGCAGGCAGGTGCCACCATCTCGTAGAGGGAGGCCTCTCTAGCATTAGGGTTTAGGGTTTAGGGTTTAGGGTCTTGCTTTTCTTGGGTTAGCAGGGAATGGAGGAATGGGGTACAACTATAACTACTATTACTACCATTCTTCCATTCCCTGCTAACCAAAGGCAGGCTTGGGGGTTTAGGTTTCGCGGGGTGTAGACTTCGGATTTCTGGTGCTCTTGAGGTTTAGGATTTTGGGGGTTGGGGACTGGATTCTTTCGTGCTATGGGTTTCGAGTTTAGGATCTGGGGTGTTGGACACCTGACCTTTTCATGTAGACCCTGACCGTTTTGCCGTTTTTGGAAGACCCCTCTCCGGAAGATCTATCCGGAACTGCAGCCAGGTGCTATCGATACCTCCCCGTCCTGAATATTTGGGGCCAGAAGCCGTTGATCCCGAAGCCGCTCTTGAGCGAGGGAGAGTCTTGAAACGACGGCCGAGGCTTCGGGCTCAGATATGGGAGTTTCCGAAAATAGGGGGTACCTGATTTGGGGTCCTTATAGTAAGGATCCTACTATTCAGGGTATTTGCTAGGGCCCCCTATTTTCGGAAGCTCCCATATGGAAATTATCTGGATGTTGGAGTCTTTGCCACATAAGGATGGGGATCTCACAGAAGCTCAGGTACCCCTGATTTTCCCGGCCTCCGTGGAGATGTGGATGCAGGTCAAGGAATCCGGCTTCAGCCTAGCCGACTTCTCACCCAGAGGGTTCAGGCTTCAATCCGTAAGCCCTAGTCTTCTCATAAGCCCTGATACGCAAGAACCAAACTGTAGATTGGTAGTGCTTCAAAGTTGCAAGAAAAAGGCAACAACACCTGCACAAGCAACAAGAATGCCGCAACTAGTGAAACCATCATTGTACTAGGTCGACTTCCAGGAACACATTCCAGATGGGATCATCATGCCACGGGCACGAACAGCAGTAGTATCCGCAAGAAAGTCTTCACCACCGCGATAGTCACCAGAACAACGTCTCGCGTGAGTTCATAGGATTTCGGGCTCAGGGTTGTCCACTCTCTGGCAGCGTAAGGCCCCCTTTGCAGACCCCTGCTGTAAGCTGCAAAGAGCTCTGAAAAAAAAAAACGCTGCAAAAGACGGTGGACTGAGGATGTAGAGTTTAAGGAATCAGGGATTTAAGGGCTTAGGGTTTCTATTTGGCTTCGGCCGTAGCCTGTAGGAGAACCTGCACCAAACAGAGCTCGGCTTCAAACAAACTGGAAGCACCCGAGATGGAAGAAGCACCGGAAGCGAAGAGTCCTTGAAAATCATGAAGCATTATGAATGAAAATTATGAAACATTATGAATGAACATCATGAAACATTGTGAAAATTATGAAACATTGTGCATGACAAACCATGAACCATTACGAAGGCAAGCGCCAGCGCCACCCTTGAAGGATGAGGCTTTAGGGGTTTAGGGTTTGCGTCCTTCCAGCTACATGGGTGGGTCCTTTTTGGGTCCTTAATATAATACGGCACCTAATATTTAAGGTGCCCAAAAAGGGGCCATGATTTTGACAACCACCCACATGGTTCGGGATTAAAGTTTGGGGGTGTAAGGATTAAGGCTTGCACGAACCGCTGACGAAGGTGCTCATCGCTGCCGTCCAAGAGGGTCTTGCCCTTGGAGTCCTTGACGCTGAACTGCCTGACCAAAGACCAAGGGCGGCTTGAGGGTTTACAGGCTCAGGTTTAGGGTTTGCACGGTTTGGGGTTTGGGTAGAAGCAAAGGTCAACGTCCCAACCTGGAGGCATCGCCACTACAGTTCCCGCTACTACAGCTGCTGCTGCTGCTGCTGCTGCTGCTGCTGCTGCTGCTGCTGCTATTGCTACTGCTGCTACTGCTGCTACTACTACTACTGCTACTACGACGACAACTACGACTACATCCACTACGACTACGACTACTGCGCCAACGACTACGACCACGAATACGACCACAACGACGACGACGACGATGACAGCGCTTACTACGACTACTACTACTACTACTACTACTACTACTACTACTACTACTACTACTACTACTACTACTACTACTGCTTCTACTACTACTACTACTACTACTACTACTACTACTACTACTACTACTACTACTACTACTACTACTACTACTACTACTACTACTACTACTCCTTCCACTGCTACTACTGCTGCTACTGCCGCTGCTGCTACCACTACTACTACGACGACTACCACCACCATCACCACCACCGCCGCCACCGCCGCCACCACCACCACCACCACCACCAAATACCACTACCAGCGTTAATAATAACCATGTACAAAAGAATATTGACACTACCACTGGCTCGTCGCGAATAATTCGTAATGTTAATTAAATATGCCATATGCAGACACAACAGAAATACGCAGCACCATTAAGCACAAGTGGGCTTGCCGTGCACATCATCTCCTGGGATTCTGACAAACTAGATCCAAAAACAGACATGGGGCGCGACTGCCGACAGCTGATGCTAAAAAACAAACAGCAAAAGATGAGAACGATGACAGTAAGACTAGACAAAGAAACATGTCGAAAGCGGAAGCATGATGAGCGACCGTGGTGCGATCAACAACGGCAATAATGGCAAGAATCATCCTAAGCAGCGACGCTATCAGGAACGAGTAAGAACAAGCGAACCTCAAATAAAGGAGCAAGAAACAAAACAGCTTCACAAAACGGATCCCCTTTCTTGGCCTCTTCACTTCCGCGACCATCTCTCCAGCGGCCTAGCCGCTTTCAGCTTCGAAAAGAGATCTGAAAGCCGCTTCAGCTCCCACTTAGGAGAGTTTGTTTAGGGTCCTTAAAGGTTTTGGAGAGGGTGTATGATCAAAGTTGTCTGGGCACTCCGAACCGACGAAAATCCTGACTGTCTCTGGCGGCCGAAAAGGTGGCAGAACTACTGCAAGCACATCTGAACCCGGGTGGTGGCTAGCGCCAAGCAAGAAACAGAGGGTTTAGGGAATATAAGTCTTTAGGGTTTACCGGATTTGCAAATGCTTATCAGGCTCTATAGGGACCTGCCCAACTCTACGAATGTTCCGGCGTACAGCATAATCGGTAGGATGAAGTAAGCCCTAAGAACCCTCATAGAAGACTGCATCGGGCTTTACAGGTAACATAGCTCTACCGGGCGATAGAGGAATAAGACTTGCCTTAAGTTTTACATAGAACGAGCCGAACGAGTAAGGACCCTATATCCTCGAACTAGCGATCACAGCTTCCGCTCCCGACATGCGTACCAGTACCTTCTGTCAAGCCCCGTTCCGTCCTTGCCGACGGACTTCATGGTGAGGGCGGCGAACCAGTAGGGAATCATGCAGCCGATGATGAGGAAGGCGAAGGTGACGGGCTCCAGGATGTTGACGCCGGTCTTCACGCGCAGGCGCACGACGAAGGCACCGTAGAGGGCCAGGGAGACCAGGGCGGCGGAGCCGATGGCGAAGCCCTTGCCGATGGCCGCGGTGGTGTTGCCGGCGGCGTCCAGGGCATCCGTGCGGCGGCGCACCTCGGGGCCGAAGAGCGCCATCTCCGCGATGCCGCCTGCGTTGTCCGAGATGGGGCCGAAGCCGTCGATGGTGAGGCCGCAGGAGAGCGTCGCGAGCATGCCCAAAGCAGCCAAGGCGATGCCGTAGAGGTCGCACAGCTGGAAGGACACATAGATGGCGGAGGACAGCACGAAGACCGGCACGATGCAGCTCTTGTAGCCCAAGGCCAAGCCCTGGATAATGTTCACGGCGGTGCCGAACTTACACGCGGCGGCCAGCTCACGTGTGGGCACGTAGGTGTGGGAGGTGAAGTACTCCGTTACCAAGCCGATGATGAGACCGCCCACGCAGCCCATGGTGGCACAGATGAAGCACTTGTAAGGGCTTCCGGTGATCTTGGCCTGCTGTCCATCCCCAGTCAGGCGCACACCCTCCAGGCGGAACTCTGCAGGGAGCAAGAAAACTGCAAGGTAGTAGATGACCGGCAGCATCAGGACGGCTGTGAGCACCATCTGCACCTTCAGCACACGCTCGATGTCGCCCTCTTCCTTGACAGGCGAGACGTTGGTGGCTACGAAGCCACAGAGAATGCAGATCACGATGCCTGCAGCTGAGATGGCCAAGGGGAAGAGCATGGCATCCCAGCCGGCATTCGCCAGCGTGTGGTGCGAGCCTTCCACCGCGGCGGCGGCGATGACCAGTGCAGCGCAGGTACTCTCGGCGAAGGAGCCGAAAAGATCCGCGCCCATGCCGGCGATGTCGCCCACGTTGTCGCCGACGTTGTCCGCGATGGTGGCGGGGTTGTTGGGATCGTCCTCATCCAGGCCGGCAACGACCTTGCCAACCAAGTCCGCACCGACGTCGGCGGCCTTGGTGTAGATGCCACCGCCGACACGGCCGAACATGGCAACGGTGCTGCCACCCAGGCCATAGCCGGCCGCACAGTCGAAGAGGATCTCCCAGTCGTCGGCCTGCGGGTAGATGGTGCGGTAGAAGGTCAACAGAACCCAGAGAACGAAGACTCCCAGGGAGCACAGCGCATAGCCCATGACGCTGCCGCCGCGGAAGGCCGTGTTGAAGCCCAACGTGTAACCTAAAGGTCTTAAACTTCTAGTGAACTTCTGCCTGAACCGACCTTCATCTGCAACGGTCGTAGTGCTTCCGAGTCACCATGATGAGCACACGCCAGCGTAGTGCGGGCGTTGGAAAACGTAGCAATCATCATGCCCAGGAAGCCACACAGCATGGAGGTGAAAGCACCTCCACATCACAAATCCCGAAACCCGAAACCCTATCAACCTATAACCCTAAACTCCAAAACCCTGAAACCCTAAACTCCACAAATCCATGATGCTTCGTATCCTGGTGAAGGCTCACCGAAATCAGAGCCTGTGAGGATCTGGGTTGTAGGCCTTGGGCTCTCTTACAGTAGAAGAATACACGGTCCGACCCCAATACACTGAAGGACTCAAAACGACGTCCAAACGTCGTGTTCAGCATCTGCTCTTCCTGTGATTTGCCCAGCTCTTCCTTCTGCGCAGCGGTTGAATCATGGTATGTGGTCAGGTCCCGGAGTCCCATCCTTCCGAAAACCCCAAACACTTAACCCTCAACTCCAAAGTTAAAAATCCGTAAGCCTCCAAATCTTGAACCCAAAACCCGAAAACCCCAAGCCTCCAAACCCCCAAACCCTAAAACCTCAGCCCTAAACCCCCAAGCCCCAAACCCCTAAAACCCAAGCAAGAGCTTCCTGGCAGGACCGAAACCCTAAACCCTAAACTCTGAAACCGCCCTGGGCCTGTCAAGAAGGCTCCGGCCGTCAGCTGCCCCTGCAGGGCACTCTTGGTGCCCCAGGACCTGCGAGGGTGTTTTTTTGGAGGGCCTTTTTGGGTCTACACTGGTGAGGGTTTAGGGATTAGGGTTTCGGGATGAAGGTTCAGGGTTTTAGGGTTTTGGGTTTAAGGTTTAGAATTTTAGGGTTTAAGGTTTAAGAGTTTAGAGTTTAAGGGTTTCGGGATGAGGGTTTAGGGTTTCGAGTTTCGGGCCTCGCGTGAGGTTTGGGGGATTGGGGCTTGAGGCTGAGAATGCTTGACTTACCCTTGGGTTAGTAGGGAATGGAGGAATGGGGTACAATTATAACTACTATTACTACCATATTACTATCATATTACTATCATATTACTATCATATTACTACCATATAACTACTATTACTACCATTCTTCCATTCCCTACTAACCAAAGGTAAGTTGAGAGTTTTGGGGGGTCGAAGGTCTCGGGGCGCAGGGTTTGGAGGCTTAGGTGCCCGAGGGTTTAAGAGGATTCTCAAGAGAAGTGAAAGACACCTTGCTGAGGTTGGCCCAGATATGTTGCATCAGGGCAATAGGGTTGTGCAATAAAGGGCCCCCTATATACTATAATTACAATAAGGAACCCCCAAAAATAATGGTCCCAGCACTAATTCATACATAGACATGTGCACTTCGACGGGGCTTTATGCTCTAAGCATAAGCTGTGACTGGCGGCTGTAAGCCAGAACTGAAGGGCCCTGCATGCGGCCAAGCTGCACGAGGCCGTAGATCACGAGTGAGAAGATGAGACAGAAGCCCATGCAGATGGCGTACTCCACCTCGGAGAGCTTTCGGGAGGAAGTGGGGCATTTAGCAGTTCAAGAGACTTCACCATCATCATGATCATCATCATCATCATCAGCAGCAGCATCATTATCATCATTACATAAACTTTGGACGGCAGCAGCACCAGCACCACCAGTATGAGGTCCCACTTATTTCTGAAAGCCCCAGAGGAGCTGCTTACTCCGAAACCTGGTTCGGATTTAAGATTTCGGTCTGGGGAACTTGAAAGTCTGCACAGACAGAACCTCAAAGCACTCAGCCCGGCGCCCTCAAAAACTGCTTGGCGCCGCTCATGATCCTGCCGGTCTAGGATTTAGGGTTGGGGGCTGGAGGCATAGGATTTTAAAGGGCTCAGGATCTACGGGGTGTCGAGCCTGGGCTTGAGATTCATGGGTTGGAAGGCAACTTAGGGTGGTTGTCGAGTCTCGGATCTTTTGGGGTTTAGGTGTTGAGCTGGGGCTTAGGATTGGTTCAGGGTTTAGGGCTGGGGCTTAGGATTTCAACTGGATGCCATACACGACCCTGCACACAGACGGTAGCCACAATGAATCCCTTCGCATGTTTCCAATCGTGACCCGAGCCACATACCCAGAGACCGTCCAACGGCCCGGAACTCGGGAATATGCCTTGAGAGAGGGAGGGAGAGAGAGAGAGAGAGAGACAGAGAGAGAGAGAGAGAGAGACGGAGCCAGAGAGAGAGACAGAGACAGAGACGGAGAGCGAGACGGAGAGCGAGACGGAGAGCGAGACGGAGAGCGAGACGGAGAGCGAGACGGAGAGCGAGACGGAGAGACGGAGAGCGACACGGAGAGCGACACGGAGAGCGACACGGAGAGCGACACGGAGAGCGACACGGAGAGCGACACGGAGAGCGACACGGAGAGCGACACGGAGAGCGACACGGAGAGCGACACGGAGAGCGACACGGAGAGCGACACGGAGAGCGACACGGAGAGCGACACGGAGAGGGAGAGGGAGAAGAAGAGGGAGAGGGGAGAATAGGTTGGTAGGCAGGCAGGCAGGTAAGTAGAGATATGGGCTGGGTATAGATAGATAGCTAGCTAGCTTAGCTTAGCATAGATGCGAGTCGAGTCGAGGAGAGGAGAGTGGAGTAGAGTAGAGTAGAAAGAGAGAGAGAGAGAGAGAGAGAGAGAGAGACAGAGAGAGAGAGCTGTATGTGTACATTTAAATCAATATGTAGATGTATGCATACAAACAGACATGCCTAAGTATGCACATACGAACATAGATAGATAGACAGATAGATAGGTACATAGATTTTTCACTACCGACCCGGGGAATATTCCCTGATTGCGGGGGATTGTGCTCTCCGGGTACTTTCGTTCAACCAACGCCAACCCCAATTCCTTATAGCGCCCTTTACGATCCCTCTTGTGAGGGTGTTTCTGTAGTAGGTGGCCATAAGGGCCAAAAGGCTACTGAAGGGGCAGTATGGATTATAAGGCTATTACAAGGGTAGCATAAGGTGCAGCAACTCCTTCTAGGATCCCGTCTAGCAACACAAGAAAGCCCGTCTTCTCGTAGATCTCTGGAACAAGCTTCTCCGGGGCGTTCTCCTGGGATTTGGCTGCAATTTTGAAGGGCGTGGCTTCCTAGCAGACTGACAGTCGGGCAGTAGAAGGGTCCTAATCTATGCCCAGCACCTTGATGACTACGGCTAAACAATAAACTAAACACCACAAATACATGCGATTCTGCACTGGTTCGGGGGCGAAGCTTTTAGACAGTCGCCGCGCCAAAGCAGAGCAGTACGTAGCAGCAGCAGCGGCAGCAGCGGCAGCTTGGCGGCAACCGTACCGGTAGCGGTAGCGGTCGCGGCAGCGCTGGCGGTAGCAGAAGCGGTTCAGAATACTATGATGGTCCCGGGAAGGGCTCCCAGAAGGGTCCCATAATCGTTTAAGGTTTAGGATCAACTAAGGTCCTGCTAACAAGGATCCTACTAACGGGTCTGGGCAGTTACTACTGGCCAGTAGCCTTTACAGGCTTCTATACATAATACGTAAACCCACCACACCATAGTCTAAATACTCCGTCTGTGATGTACTGGAGAGACGTGTCTACAGTGTACCCTGCGCAAACTCTCCTATCCCGGGGTTCCACGTTCAAGCTTGAAACCCCCCAAACCCCTTGTATAAGACTTGCAGAGTACCCTTACATGAGCCCGAAACATATATAGGGGCCTTATAAATTGGAATAGGATTTTGGAGCCCATGATACTATATTTACAATCAGGACCCCCCAAAAACTGTACAGGTAACCACTAGGGCCCCTATACTAAGCCACGCGACGCCGCCGGCCATGAGGCGCTTCTTCAGGTCCGAGGAAGCCTGCGCATGAGGCTTAGTGACGGTTGCTAAACGGTTGGTCGTAAGGTTTCAAAACGGTCTTTACTAGGGCCCTTCAGTTGAGGGCGATTTCCAGCCATTTTTCTGAAGGATTGTTAGAAGCGCTGCGAAACAGTTTCCAACTGCATGTTCAGATGGTGTTGACTTGAAATATTGACATGGCATTGAAAATGATGCCAAAAAACAGCTTTCGGTTTCGAATCAAAGTGTTCATAACGTGTTTCATTTGATGGGCTTTAATGGGTTCCTTGTGAGGGTTCCTGATGGGGTTTCCCAAGGGATGCTAAAGCTCAAGAGAACTGCGAAACGGCTATTCCCCACACGCGACACCTGCGATTATCAAAACCCGCAAACCTTCTGACAGTTTGACTCGGCTCTCCATGCATGCGGAACCCTAAACCCTAAACCCCTAAAGCCTAACCCCTAAGCACTAAACCCTACACCCCTAACCCGTAAACCCCTAAAGCCTAAACCCCTAAAGCCTAAACCCTAAACCCCTAAAGCCTCACCCTACCACCCCTAAACGCCCTAAATCCCGAAACCAATTTGCCCAAAGTCCCAGCGAGGCAGAGCCTCAGAGTCATCATCCGGCTGCAGCTTGATCTTCCTTGGGGTGGGGTCCAGGTTAGAAGGGGCCCCCACCCTGCAATAGTGGCATAATCGGAATATAATAGGGCCCTAAGATAATCCTTATAGTCACTATTACAGGGTGGGGGCAGCTTCTAAGGTCTAGGGTTCTCAAGGTCGACCATCATCCAGTAGCAAAACTCGCTACGTCGATATCGGAAGTCACCCCACCAACCCAAGAAACCCATAACACTAAGTAGACAACTCAGTTTACAGGCTAAGATGTAACCATCTCATAACAGAACAACAAGCCCTTAAAATCCCATAACAGTTGAGAAAATGTCAGTCTCTATATTATGCAGGAGTGCCCCCATAGCTGGATACACGCTACTGTTCAACCGAAGCCGCATGGAGGAGGTTTAAAATTATGGCCCCATGAAAGTTACGTTTGGGCCCAATGTCATGGACTACTCCTGATGGACGGAAATTCTGCGTGGTCCAGAATGAGGAGTGCGTAAGGCAATGCACACGTACGGAGCCATCATAGCAGGCTGAAAGCGAGCCTATGTCGACCAATCACTGCATTTCAGGCACAAGATTGGCGTGAGTATGAGCAGCATTGAGTTTAGGGGGTTTGCATACTCAAGCGACAATCACGGCGTGTATCACTTAAGTATTGAGAACACCTCTAGGGTTAAGTTGCTGATGGGTTACTACAGGGCTTAGCGGGTTTAGATCTACTGAGGTCTGTAGGTTCAAGCTTTTTGTGGCTTCAGTTGAGGGCAGCTTACTGCAAGGGCCTTAATAAGTAGAATACGGTCTTGGGCCCATTTATAGTATAACTATAATAAGGAACCCCAAGCAAGAATATTGGTAACTATTTAGGCTTCTCAATTCGGGCCTAAACCCTGCCCTGCACCTGAAGCACAGCAAACGCACCAAGGCGCTTGATGATCAGGAACTGGCACAGAGCTGCGACGAGTCCTCTGTGACAGGGACAGAATCAGAGCGAGCACCCAACGGGCACATCACGGTCTCAAATGACTGGGGGGCCCCTTCTTCCGAGTCTTTACATAAAGGATTCTACTGTCTACGGTTCTTTACGAGGAACCTCTGAGATACAGAAACCCCATATGAGCTTCAACTTCGCACAAAGAACCAAGGGAGACACAGCCCGGTTGTGCTTTAGCGCTTAGGGCATGAGCATTTCGGGTGCTCGGTGCTGTAACGTGTAGGGTTTAGGATGTGGAGTGGAAAATGCAAAACCTGGACAGCAAACTCCATGCTACAGCGGCGGCTCCTACCCCGCATGGGACGACGATAATCCAATCCACGGGAAGCATGGCCCCTGCGACGGCGCATCTTTCAGCTGTCCGGGGTCCGGGTTGACTGGGCTTAAGCTACAGAGCTTGGGTGGGGGAGGCATTCTGGAGTTTGAGTCCGGCATGGAAGCTAGAGGGTTCAGACTTCTGACCAGGACGATGCATTCCACACTCCGGTTCAACTCTAACAGCACTCAAGCCGAAACAAAGTTCCGAGTTGTATCAGTTCTAACATCCAAAACCCCGATATGGGAGTTTCCGAAATTAGGAATACCATGTCTTGAGGTCCTTATCATCAGGATCCTACGATTTGGGGTACTATATTAGGGTCCCCTATTTTCGGAAACTCCCATATGGAGAAGCCTGAAGGCCCCCCAGTCATGTTCTGGCGTGCCCCCAACGCCTGATTGTGCTACTGCTGGTGGACGGTTTCGGGTATAGGGTTTCGGGTTTAGCAGTATCTGGGAGTTTCCGAAAATTGGGGGACCCTAATATAGTACCCCAAATAGTGGGATCCTGATGATAAGGACCCCAAAATAAGGTACCCCTAATTTTCGGAAACTCCCATCCAGGGTCAGGGGAAAACCACAAGGCCGCGACTAAGATGATGCAGGAGGTAAGCCACATGAGTGCTCATACTGTGGAGCCCGTAGACACCCCCAATAGAATCCCGACAGAGCCGTTGTAGAACCCCGAAACCCTTCATGCAAGGAGCCCTTACAGAACGTAAAAAAACTCTGAAGAACCGTCTCGAATCCTCACAAAGCGTGTATAGAACCTTGTGTAGACCCCGGCAGTGTCATCCGAGGGCCTGGAGAAGCACTGGGCCAAAAAGAGTGGAATCTGTCTACCAAGTGGCTGCGGAGGGGCAGGCGACAATGCTGATGCTTGTACGTACTTCGCCCGTAACCGGGTCATCCAGCTCCTCATTGGGAACCCAGCTTCTTGCAAGAGTCAAGATAACGAGCTAACATGGTTGGAGAAATCCTATGTCTAACCCTAAAACCCTAAGACCCTAAACCGAGTCTCGCGCAGTGTCACCCCAACAAAAAAGCACAACTGCCTGCCCATCCAAAGCACAAGGCCCCGAGCTTGTTTGGAGCTCCAAGACTGAAGATACTCTATGGTGGATTTCATGCGCAGGGAAACTCTGATTGTGTACCTTTGCGGTGTCAGGAGACTGTTGTTCCAACTTTCTGGGATGACTGACTTCAACCACCTGCACCCTACAACCCCAAGCCCTGGACGCAAACCCAAGAATTAAAACAAAACAACGAAATGCATGACAGTCCCGGATATCGTTTTCTTGTGGCTTTGCCGCACTTCAGAGCCGCTTCAGTCAGTCCCCTCGCCAGCCGTCAGCGCTCGTAAGTTGCGGGGTATTTGGAGCTCGGGGTTCCGGGTTTTGGGTTTAGTTTGGGAACTGGTGTGGCCCTGGGATTTGGGAGCTTGTAAGGAGTTATTCAGGCTATGGTGGCGAGGGATCCGACGGAAGCGGGAACGGCAAGATGCGCAGAACGCGATTCCGAATGCCTGTCACTTCAAGCTCCTTGTCGGGTTTGGGGTTTAGGGTAGGGCTTGTCGGGATGGGGTTTTGAACTGTAGGGCTCAAGGCGTTGTTAGAATCCTAAGCTTGCACCGCGAGCCCGAACTTGAACCACTCGAAGTCACGGCAATCATGCATTTTGGTGATATATATATATATATATACATATATATGATGAAAATACCGGCATATATATATACACACATATGTATGTATGTATATATATATATACATATGTGTGGCAAGTGGGGTACAGAGTGCCTCTGTGGGTGGCGGGGGCGGGAGAAGTACTTGTGACCACGCTTGCCCAGCATACAACGCGTTTGCAGAGACATCTGGACCTCCATGCAGAGGTTCGCATGGGCAAATCAGGGGTTTAGGGTTAGGGTGTAGGGTTGAGGGTTTGAAGCGCAGGCCTTTGCGACAGGTTCGGCCAAGATGATCCACGACTCTTCGTCTCGCATAGCACAAAAAGTTCGCTCCTGCTCGCATTGTGCCGAGGGAACACGGTCGAGAACAGGACCAGGAATAAAACATAATTAAACATGTTCATGTACGTATGTGTGTATGTATACATATATATATATATATATATAATGCAGGTATATATGTATTGTATCATGTGGTTGGCGGGATTTTTGTTCATTTGTTCGTTCGTTCCGGCATTCATTCATTCATTCGGTCAGTCAGTCAGTCAGCCAGCCAGCCAGCCAGCCAGCCAGCTAGGCAGCCAGCCAGCCGGCGCAGCCAGCCAGCCAGCCAGCCAGCCAGCCAGCCAGCCAGCCAGCCAGCCAGCCAGTCAGTCAGTCAGTCAGTCAGTCAGTCAGTGCCTCATTCGCTTATTCAGTCATTTCTTCATTCGTTCCTTCATTTTGGATTCAGTCCTTCATTCGTGAATCTGCTCATTCAGTTATTTATTCATTTGTTCATGTATGTGTGTTTATGTTTATGCTTCTGCTTATATGTGTTTATGCATATCATGAAACCGTCGTGTGCCTGAAACCCAACAAACCCAACCTATCACTACCGATACAACTTCGAGCACGTACAGTTTACTTTGCGTGTGAGTCTTCGAAGAGCAGAGTTCCCCTCGCCAATCGCAGCGGAAGCGGATGATCCTTGTTGAATCTGGGAATCCTACCCTACTGCAGAGAATGAACAGTCCTGTCGAAACGGCAACATATCAAACAATCAATGTGGGCGTCGGACAACATGGGCTTCCCCCAATTGCTCCCTCAACTATGCCCTACACGTAGAGGTCAAGGTGAATCTGTGACATTGAAGTCGTGGATGAATTCTTTACATCCAAGACTGGAGTACAGAAACGAACAAGGGACGAGCGTCCCATACAGCTCTGCTGGCAGAGCCCTCCACCCGTAAATCCTGAAGCTCTTTACTTTAAACACTTGGCCCTGGACCCCAGACCAAGAAACCCGAATTCATCATACAAGGCATCCCTCGAGCCACAACACCTAAACTACTTTGCCAAACCCCCTCATAGTAGATTCTGAACCCCATGTATATTCAAATACCAATTTGGTAAGATTGGAAGCACATTCCACAAGTCTGGAGACCAAAAACCCATGCATATTTCGCAATAATCCCTGCTACCTGTATTGTAATGCAGCTTCTATATGCGTAATTGCAGTATACAGATCCAAAAACCCCATTCTAGTTCGATAAGCATGAAGGCCACTGTATTTGGAATCTCGACGCTGTTTTTGACATGGTACAAACTCGCAGTCGTAGAGGTACCATTGCAACAAGCCATTTATTTCATTCACAATAACCCTTCCTTCTGACTCTTCAAGTATACACAACAACTAGACCAGAACCCAAACCCCTGCTTAACGGAGCGGGCCGTAGTAGGCAGGGTTGCGACAATCAGGGAAATTAACTAGACCTATAACTATTTAAATACCCCAACTAGGATACATGTAAACATATAAACAGTCTATCTAATCATGAACCAATGTTTGATCCAAAGCTACTCGATCAAACATTAGAGCATGCTAAGTACGCGCAGCTGTTCATGATAGCCTCAACCGACGCGTCAAGGCCAATTGCCTTTTGCTGTCGGGCCGAAAGCCGGGCAAGCTGGTGCTCGAATGCTTAAGTGTTGCAAACGGCTGTGGGCTTTGGGTGGCTTGCTGCTATGGGCTTGGGGATATGTTATAGTACAACTATGATAGTAGCATTGATTCCGCCCTCTGTGCTGGGGTCGTAGGTGTGGGCTGAAGGGAGTTCAGGGTGTGGGGTTTAGTTCACCGGTTGCTGAAAGTCTGTCTCTAAGGCTTCGAAGCGCAGATTATAATTCCTCCGCATCTTCACTCCACTCGGCCAGGCTACAAAAAGAAAAGTCTCACTACTACATCTCCGTATAGAACCCCATGAGACTAAGTGAAATGATTATGGCCCTCTACTTTTCACCCCTGAGCGCAGGCTTTGGGATTGCGTTTGGGCCGGGTGTTCAATAGCTAAAATCTAAAACACTCTGGGTTTTCAAATGCCGGGCCGGAAGTCAGCCAGATCATTGTCTTTCGCGCACCGCAGCCCAGGGTGTCTCTCACGAAAGGCACGGCGACGGGCCTGGCACACTAAGCTTCGACTGCTTGAGCACCGGTGCAGTGGCGGCGCCGTCCACTTCTGAGGTTCATCGAACTGGAATACCGTACATGAGGGGTGTCCTTGTGAGAAGGCTGTAGTACTGTACTGTGTCGGGACTACCGGGTGGCTTTTTCTTCAAAACGCATACCTGCTCCACCATCCTAGCGGCAAATGTCCGAAAACCCCAGACGCAAATCCTTCATTCTGGAAACCCTAAACCCTAACTCCCAAACCCTAAACCCTAAAACCCTAAACCCTTAAAAAAAAAAAAAACCTTATCAGAACTTGTTCAAGGAATCCTGTCCCAGTTATTGCCGGCCCCCCACTTAGTGGCGAGCCTCACAGCGCGGCCTGGCCGAAAAAGCCGTGTCCATGGTTGATGGCCGCGAAGTAAGCCGCGAAGACAAGGGAGACGATGGCCTCTCCAGTAAATAGCTCAGCAAAACACGACACTATCGCATAGTGTATAGTATAATAGAGCATAGTAGAGTAAAGTATGGCACAATATAGTATAGTATAGTACCTCTCAAAGTTGGACGTAGGATCGGCAGCCGATGCTGCAGCGAGCTGGCACTTCGAGATGCAGCTTATCGGCACAGCAACGTATAGAGTTTAGGGTTACTCTGTCTAAGTTCTGCTATAGAACCAAAACCGGAATCTCGAACCCTTCAGAAATATAATGAAAGGAAGATTCACCCAAAAAAAACTGACCCCATGGAACCCCTCATCGACCCCCTTCAAAACCCTGTCAACCCGAAATAAAGCCGAAAAGCAGTGTCCATCCCGAGGCTTGGAAACCATTGAAAAAGCCCCGTTTAATGAACCTTCGTAATATAGGGGCCTGAATAATTAAACTAAGGTTGGGGGCGCCCATTATACTATAAGTATAATAAGGAACCTCCAAAACAGTGTAGATAATTCTTCAGGCCCCTATACTAAACCCCTAGAGTGGCCCTTATAGTAGCCCTTATAGGCACCGGAAAAAGGAACGCGTAGGAACAAGAAACCCATCCGAGGCCTGCAGCTTCATCACAATATTCAGGGCCGGGCCGGAGGTGTCCTCCGTTCTTTTGGGGGGTTTCGGGTTTTTGGGGGGTTTCGGGTTTTTAGGGGTTTCGGGCTTTTGGGGGTTTCGGGCTTTTGGGGGGTTTCGGGCTTTTGGTGGTTTCGGGTTTTTGGGGGCTTCGGGTTTTTGGGGGGTTTCGGGGTTTAGGGTCCTGGGGGGTTAGGGTTTCGGGGTTTAGGGTTTCGGGCTGTTGGGGTTTAGGGGTTCCTTCCTAGGTTTGCAAGAGAGGGCTCAACAAGGTTTCTAGCATCAGGGGTTCTATAACGGTTCTACTAGAGTTCCACCAGGGTTCCATCAGGGTTCTATAAGGGTTGTATAAGGGTTCCATGAAGGCTCTATAACGGTTTAGGGTTTGAGGTTTTACCGAGTCAATACTTGAGGGTCACATGATAAGTCACAGATCCTATGTCCTGTCCCGTTCAAGCACCCTTAGATAGAAACCCTAAGTCACCTTTTTGACCCTGCGTGCCGTCCCCCAACTCCGAAACTCTGTGTGCTCAGAGAGCCGGCAAGCAGCCGCCAAACATCCGACAAAAAAGCAAAGCAAAACTGAAAATCCGTTAGGGTTTAGGGTTTAGGGTTTAGATGTCCAAGCCAAAAACCCGCCCCAGAAAAAACCCTGAACGGTAGGGTCCTTACTCGTAGACGGCCCCGGCAAAGGGAGCATTCGTTCAAGCCGCAAAAGCATTACAAAACCGGGCAGAAGGATCCCTTTAGAACAAAGCGACCTCACAACAAACCCTCAGCAAACACATGAAAACAAGTACTGATATATAATGCTGTCCTATATAGTAATATATGATACCATACTACATAACCATACATAATACGAATATGTGATCCTTGAAGGGGTCGCCGACGGTGTCGCCCTGCACGGCAGCATCGTGGGCCTCCTTGGCCTGAGAGGGTCGGGAAGGGCGGAGGCTATTCTTGTCGGAGTCTAGGGTTTAGGGTTTAAGGCTTAGGGTTCAGGGCTTAGGGTTTAGGGTTGAGGGTTCAGGGTTTAGGGTTTAAGGCTTAGGGTTCAGGGCTTAGGGTTTAGGGTTGAGGGTTCAGGGTTTAGGGTTTAAGGCTTAGGGTTAGGGTTTAGGGTTGAGGGTTCAGGGTTTAGGGTTTAAGGCTTAGGGTTCAGGGCTTAGGGTTTAGGGTTGAGGGTTTGGGGTTGAGGGTTTAAGGCTTAGGGTTCAGGGCTTAGGGTTTAGGGTTGAGGGTTCAGGGTTTAGGGTTTAAGGCTTAGGGTTCAGGGCTTAGGGTTTAGGGTTGAGGGTTCAGGGTTTAGGGTTTAAGGCTTAGGGTTCAGGGCTTAGGGTTTAGGGTTGAGGGTTTGGGGTTGAGGGGTTAGGGTATGCATGCAGGCAAGGGAAGCGAAGGGCTTCTTTGAGGCGTTTGTCACACGCCACAACGATTTCACGAGGAACTCTGAGGGTTTTGCGATCATGGTTTGATACAACAAGGCTATGTATGTATGTGCGTGTATGCATGTATGCAGACATATCAGATACATATACACGGATGAACATATGGGGAAACAGATCATAAACTCCAAAGCCCTAAACGCTATTCAAACCCTCATGGAACCCTCAAAGGCATCCTCAACGGAACCATAAGGACGCCGAAAAACCCGAACCCTGAACCCTAAACTAAAACCCCAAACCCAAAACCTGAAACCTTAAGGCTTAAAAGCCCTCAACCCCTGAACCCTCAACCCCTCAGCCCCTAAACCCTAAACCCCAAACCCCCAAACCCCAAAACCTTAAACCCTCAACCCAACAGCGGAGCCTTGGGGGCGGCCTTGATTTCCTCCGGCGTCTTGGGGTTCTTGGTGTACCGCAACCTGGGGTTGGCGCTTGAAGCTTAGGAGTTTGGGGGGGTTGGAGTTGTGTTTCGGGTTTAGGGGTTCAGGGGTTGCGGGTTCAGGGTTTAGTGTTCAGGGTTCAGGGGTTTAAGGTTTGGGGTTCAGGGGTTTAGGGTGTGGGAGCTGATTAGAATTCAAGGCTTAAGGCGTACGGCTTGGGGTTCAGCGTTTAGCGTGCAGGGGTTTGGTGCCTACGGTTCACGGTCCTGGCTTCGGTGCTAGGCCTCTTCGTTTTGTTGGCGTCCAGGCTTCAAAGCGTCTCTTGTAATTGATCTTCGTAAACGGTCGAGGAAGCGGGTTTGCCAGGGGCCTGTGCGGCATTCTGAAATTCTGCAAACAGAAACCCTAAACCCTAAACGATTTACTCATAGACCTTAGACGCCGTCTTTCGAACTCCCACCTCGATGCCCATCAAGAGGTGGAAGAGCGGCTTCCGCTTGAAGCTTGGGCTTTAAATGGGAGTTTCCGAAAATAGGGGACCCTAATATAGTGCCCTAAATCGTAGGATCCTGATGATAAGGACCCCAAAATAAGGTATCCCTATTTTCGGAAACTCCCAAATGTCGAGCGTCACGAAAGGGAGAGCTAGGGCATTAGGGTATGCGTATTGCTGTACACCGCCTCGCTCGGGTTCTGTACTTGGGCATCTTTGATACTTAGAAGATTGATTAGCGGCTTCAGTGCTGTAAAGCGCAGGGGTCACAGGGTTCCTATACTGGGGGCTTGGGAACCTTAGCCCCAAACCCACTCGAACGGCCAGGACCAGAGAGCCTGATGGAGCTTGTCTAGACCAGAAGTACAAAGATCCTTCATATGACGACCATGACGACCCCGAAAAAATTGAGGTACCCCTTATTCACTTGTACAAGACACGCCTAGGCCCTAAGCCCGAATCCCCTTATCTCGGACTTTTCAATTCGCGCGAAGCACAGATCTCGTCTGGGCAGTACTCCTGCCTCAGCAAGCCGGCTACCACCCGCGCGGCCCCAAACCCTACACCCAAGGCACCAGAACAACTTATATATTTACATATATACATATACATATGCCTCTTTTTATCTATGTACTGATATATTTGTACGTTTATATATCAAAGCCACTCCGGATCTTCCCGGTATTGACTAAGCAGGGTTGTACCGACTGGTGAGCTGAGGGAAACTCAAGATTTGCAGACTTTAGTCTGAGCATATGAACACTTATGCACTCAATTATTGAGTTGCTTCTCCGTATCTGTAATTGTGTATGTACATATACATAGACATATACATATACATAGACATAGACATAGACATAATACATAGACATAGACATAGACATAGACATAGACATAGACATATACATATATACATATATACATATATACATATATACATATATACATATATACACATATACATATATACATATATACATATGTACATATATACATCTATACACCTATACATATATACATATATACATATATACATCTATACATCTATACATCTATACATATATACATATATACATATATACATATATACATATATACATATATACATATACATATACATATACATATACATATACATATACATATACATATACATATACATATACATATACCTATACATATACCTATACATATACATATATATATATATATATATATTGTTTTGTTTGTTTCTATTCTTGGAATATTTATTTTTGTGTATTTGTTTATGTGTTTGTTTCTATTTATTTGTATTTGTATATGTGTGTGTATGGGGGTGTCATGGTGTGTCTATATACATCGCTTAATTACACCCGAATTTGTTGAGTTTACCCGTTCTGCCGAGTAGGCCAAGCATCAGCGAGCTCAGTCCTGGTGCGCGAGGGCAAACTCCAACCCGGCTACGATGGCCGCAGCCTGAGCCAAGATTGCCAATCGCGGGTTTAGGGCTTCAGGCTTTGGGGTTTCAGGACAAATAAAACCCTAAACCCCAGTCTTTTACAAGGGATCCCTTAGCTTTAATCGATCTGTCTCATCTGGTCTTTCTTGGACATCTCTTCAAAAGACGGCACAGGCCTGGGCTCGGTTGCACTCCTCGCGGCTTGTCCTCTGCGAGTCCGGGTAGACCTGCCGGTTTAGGGCTTAGGGCCTAGGGGTTTGGGATGTAAAGGCGGGTTTTTCGAAGGCCTTTTACCGGGTCCTTGAGCCTAAGTCGTTACCCTTAATCCCGAATTCCAAGCCCCAAGACAGAAAATGAAGATCAGCATCCACCTCCGTGGTGGTCACGTACATAGCATCAGTGTGTGCGTCGGCCGTACCCTCACCTGGGGCCAGAAGAACCCCAGGTGCGGCGACGGGTTCGCCCACGATCTTCCCACGGTCATCGGCTGCGGCAATGTGCGTAACCTGCCCGGAGTCATGTCCAAGATCTGCTAACTCAGCACTCCATGTTGTAATTATGGTACTGCATAAGTAAGGTATACATATATGGGCCATGGGGATATTGGGGACACAGTTGCTGAGCATTCTGACTTCCAACAAACCTGCGGAGCCTTCCTCGATCAACTTCGCAAGACGAGGAACCTTGAACCTCAGAAGCCCTTATACCAACCCGTAAAGGAACCCCTTCAACGAGCCTCAAAGGACCCCTCACAGGATCCCTCAAAGGAACCCTTAAGAGAACCCTTAAAGGAACCCTTAGAGGATCCCGTAAAGAAACTCCCAGAGGACCCCTTTAAAAGGAACCCTTAAGGGAAATCGTGGAAGGGCCTTCTCCACAGCCGCGATGATGTGCTTTGAAAACTCGAGCTGGTCTTTCTCACGCGCCGAATCCCCATAGATATAGAATCCGTCCGGGATGTCGTACCTACAAAGAAGCATTACAGCTACTGTTGACGATAAAAATCCTGCATTACCTTAAGGACTCGAAACTATGGGAATTATGGTATATTCCCTACAATGGGTCATGCAGGATTTCTATCATCAACCGTATCACCCTTGAAGCGTTACAGCTAGCACTCTCAAGAAAAAGGTGAAGCCTAAACCCTAAGCCCCGATCTCTATACCATAACCATATACTATAAAATATACTCTATAATATACTACAATATACTATCATATACTATCATGTACGATCATAGACTAGAATATACTACAATATACTATCATATACTATATCTGATCTCCAAGCGGCCACTCCTCGTACTTGTCTTCGGTAAGGCCATCGCGTGCAAAGCGAGCCGGGGTGAACTCGGTGTTGTCTGTGTCCGTGGTCTCATGAAGATCCATGTGAAGGAGGAGGAACTTCGACCTCGCGCGATGCTCCGCAATGCACTTCATTGCTAGCGCCGCCTCCTGGTAGGGAGAAGTCCAAGTCTCTCAGCCCCCTCTTTAGTGTTTGGGGCTTAGTTCAGGATTTACGGGTCGTCGAGGTTCACTTTTGCCGATAAGTAAGGTTTTCAATACCAGCATGAGATGGACGAGGGTTAGACTGTTTTTTGAGTTGCAGGGGATAGTGGATCGATGTACTAGGGCTTAGGGTTTAGGGTTTCTAGGTCGAACGAGCCCTCAAACATGCCAAGAGCCTAACCCTGAACCTCAAAACCACGAGAGGAATAAGCGATTAGGTGAGCAGTCAGTGAAGACGCCTTTGGTGGGAAATCATCTCCGTGCTAGAACATACTGGCGCTGTTGCACATGGCCACTAGTACTGATACTATGGAAGAGCATGTGTATATTTCCACACACACACACACACACACACACACACATTACATTGCATCACATAGTGTGTGTGTATCTATTTATGCGTATGTATAAATCATATATTTTTTAATTTTTGGTTATTATAATCCCTAACAAACAGCTAAAATTACAATTACATCCCAAAACCCCAAAGCTGTCCACAGAAAGTCTCTACTCCTCGCTTTGTCCATCGGGTTTGAACGCCCGGTTCGGATCCACCGCCATTGGCGTCCAGCGCTCGCCTGGAGAACGACGCAGTTCGGGCTTAGGGTTTTAGAGTAGTTTTTGCAGTTAGGTGCCCCTTGTCTCTGTTCTTCAATGCCTGTTAGGAACATGTGCATAAAGGGTAGTAGTTCAGGTTGTAGGATTCACACACGCCACGTTTCGGGCTAATGGGGCGTGTGTATCCATCGCTTTGTCGCTAACGGCAATTCAATGAACTATCAGAAATTACGACGGGTATCCATACTCAGGGCAAATAAGTAAGCAATGCTGAAGGTGGAAGAGGTTCTGTAGTGCTGGTAGTGTTAGAAAACCTTGTGGTTTGGGTCGCGGGCAGAGCAGGGACATGTTTTGAGGGTGTGATAAGGCCTGGGTGTCTCAGAAACAGTATGTTGTTGTCGTGCTGTTTCTTTGCGCTTTCGGAGAAAATAGTATGTTGTTGTAGTGTTGTTTGTTCACGCTTTCGGAGTATGTAGGATTAGTTTGGTGCTTTAAAGCGCGTGCAGGGGGGCCTAACACAAACTCGAAACAGACATCCAATCCTCAATTCAAGAACAGTTAAGCCTAATAGTCGGTCTGCATGCCCTAACTCAGACTTCGACTCCCGCTTACTTACGACTACCCACTTGAAGCTGCCTTTGACTCCCTCTCGGCCCAAAAACCACCATGATTTATCCTGGGCTTCGGGGTTTTAGGGCTGTCGGGCTTGAGGGTTGGAGCTTGGGGTTTAGGGCTGGGGCTTTGATCAGTCGAAGACGGAAGCCCCAAAAACTATTCAGAGTCTCCATGCACATGAAGATGCCTTGTTAAACAGTTTACGTCTCGATCTCCCCTGTATGGTAGACCATGCTTCAGGCCCAGAGAACCCAATACCCCTTAATTAAGGAATATACCTTAGATTATAGAAGCCTGAATCTTATGATTTCATGTACATTCCTCAATTAACTGGTATTGGGATCTCTGGGGGGCTTAGGCTTCGGCTGGTGCAGCAGAGCCGCACATCTCCAGGCCCCAGGGTGCCACGCAGGGCAGAAGCAGCAGATTCACGGAGTTCCTGAGCTCTTGAAGTTCTGGGCCCTCTTTTTGGCCCTAAGCCCTTTTTGGGAGCTTCAGAAAATAAGGGGGCTGATGGTCCTTATGATAGGACGACTATCCATCCTTCGCAAGGGCCCCTTATTCTCCGAGATGCCATGTTGAGGATAACAGACCCTTGCTATGGCAACTTTTCTAAGTTCCGTATGCCTGAACCTTGAAAACTTAAAGCCCCAAGACCCTATAAAACCTTGTAAATCCTCGTAAGATAAACCCGAAACCCCAAAGCCATAAATCCGCTTAATAAACCCACACCGCCAAACCCCAATCCCCTCAACCCAAAACCCTAAATTCCTAAACTCCTGAGCCCAGCTTCTGGGCTACGAAGGTTTGGAAGTGCTGTGCAATGAACTCAATGGCGCCCAGGCTTCCAAGCTCGTAGCCTCAAGGCTTTCCGGATTCAGAAGATGTCTTTTAGGGGGTTCTGATAAGGGTTTCGGGTCTGGCGTAGCTGCCTCAATAATCAGGATAGGGTGTTGTCATATACTGTACAAGTACGTAGGGTTAAAGAAAATATGACTTTGTGACTGCATCGTTCTTACGGATGGTGGTCAGGCGCTTGGGAAGGTGGCTCTGTAAGGGTCTTTACAAGGGTTGTTAGGGGCTTGGGGCTCAGGGCTTCATTGGTCTTCAGTGTTGAAGGTTTAGGGCTTTATGCTTCAGAAGTTGGAGGATGCAGGGCTTCAGAGGTTTCGATTCAAGTAGGGATTAAAGCCTGCTTGAGGTTGAAGTTCTCAGACACTAGGCCCTCCTGGCTCTCGATTGGGGGTTTGGGTGAAGTTAAGGATTTAGGGCCGTGCTGGGCTTTCGGGCCTATCGGTTCGGATCCGAGAAATGGCTCCTCGAACCCTGAACTCAAACCCTTAGGCCCCTAAAACACGGTTGATGGTTTTGGGTTTAGGGTTATCAACTAAGCCAAGACGCCACTCCACGTGCTCTTGGCGCTGCAACGGGGCCGAAAGAGCTAGACTATGGCTCCACAAACAATCTAATCGAATTGTAACTGTAGTCATCCCTCAACGCACTTACATCTAACGCCCAAATCATCATATAACTCCAAGCAAGCGGCCATGAACCCCGCCAGTGATCACGGCCATCGGCAGCGTCGCATCCCAGGCCGCCGAACGAAAAGCGAAGAGCGGGAAGAGGGCCGAACCTTCGAGCTGAAGGGGTCTAGGGTGTCGGAACCGTCCCAGAAACCCAAGTGTATCCCTTAAGCTCAGGGACATTCCTTGAAAAAAAAACAAGAATCCCTATAAACCTCAGAGAACGTTGTTGTAGTCATAGGAAGAAAACGCGTATTATACTTTCAAGATATCCCTTATTCGAGGGGTTTGGCGTTCAGAAAAATAAACACGGGCTGTAGAAAGAGCTTGCAAGGATTCCGCAAGCGAACCTGAAGACAAAAATCACCCTAAACCCGAAACCCGGTTGTAGGAAGACGTAGCACCCGAACAGCGACCTTTCGACTCTATGATTCAATGGAGAGATGAGACATCCAGGGACACAGTGACCCTTACACGGAACACTGCAGAGTAGCAGCCTCAATATGGGAGTGTCCGAAAATAGGGGACCCTCCTATAATACCCTAAACAGTAGGATCGTTATTAGAAGGATCCCGAAGTAAGGTACCCCTAAGTTTCGGAAACTCCCATATAGCAACCCACCAAAAAGGGAACTCCTAATTTGCTGGAAACCCCCAAGTAGAAGCGAAGTGCCGAGAGGTCGGTAGTCGATCGCCCCGTACTCCACTAGCTCTCCGCCGACTGCCTGCGAGTTGCCAGGAGGGCTTCTTGGAAGCAAGGCCTTGCGTAGGGTTTAACGTTTAAGGCTTCAGGTTCAGGGCTTTAAAACCAAAGCGCATGGTGTTATGCTGGGTGTTGATGTCACCTTACTGGGGTTCTATGGGGCTTTGTGCTATCTCAATGAGGGCTTTTGATACGGCTCTTCCGTTGCTCACCCAGGGTCCTCCTCTTGCGATATGATGAAGACGATAGCTATGATTGTTGTATTATTGCCCGAATCGTGGCTGTGGCCGTTCGTCCTCTTCTCGTATGTATGTATGTATGTATATATGATGGCGGTGGTGATGATGATGGTGGCAGTGATGATGGTGGTGATGATGATACTGATGATGCAGGTGATGCAGATGATGCTGATGATGCTGATGATGACCATGATTGTGGCTATGGGTCATGTACTGTACTATGACCCGCAGTGTGGTCATAACCAGCCTTGTGGCGTTCTTGCTATCTGCCAATGATGTCTTTCTTCTACTCTGACAATGACATGGAAGCAAGCAATGACAACATAAACACTCCAAAACCTTACAAACCGTTCAACACCTTCCAAAAACCTCAGAAAACCCTGAAAACAAAAGACGCCGCACAAATCCCCCACCCATTAAAACACAGGCCGGCCTTAGGGATGCGGTGCAGGGGAGACACGATGGTCTCGAAGTAGTCGCAAACACCTGGGCTTTCCCCAAGTTTTAGGGCTTTGGGGATCGGTATGTAGCAGCCCCCTTTTGAAGGAACATCATGGCACTTCTTTCTTCAACTCGGATTGAAAACAGGACTTCAGAGTTCAGGGTTTGTGGAGTAGGGTTTGTCTCAAGGTTTGCGCTTAGCCTGTAGAAACCAAAAATGTCTACATGACATGTGTATACATGTGAACATCGGTATATACACATGTTTGAAGATATACACATAATAAATAAATATATATATATATATATATACACACACACATAATACGTGAAAACACCCCCAACAGCGTACTGCTTGAAAACCCAAAACACGCCGCCGCCCTGCGAGCCACGTCTGCCGCTCCGAGTCACCCCAAGGCCTTGGGTCCAGGCCGAAGCAAGCTTTTCAGTAGTGTAGTAATAGCAGCAGTAGTAGTAGTAGTAGTAGTAGCAGCAGCAGCAGCAGTAGCAGTAGTAGTAGCAGCAGCAGCAGTAGTAATAGTAGTAGTAGTAGTAGTAGTAGTAGTAGTAGCAGTAGTAATAGTAGTAGTAGTAGTAGTAGTAGTAGTAGTAGTAGTAGTAGTAGTCGTAGTAGTAGTAGTAGTAGTAGTAGTAGTAGTAGTAGTAATAGTAGTCGTAGTAGCAGTAATAGTAGTAGTAGTAGTAGTAGTAGTAGGTGGTAGTAGTAATACAAGAGGAATAGTAATCGGAAGGGCAATAGTACTTGCAATTGCGAAGGTTTTGGGGCCACGGCTTGGGGCTCGGGAGTTGAGGACTTAGAGTTTAGGACTTGCGGCCTGGGGTCTAGAGTGTCTGATTGAAGGCCCCTGCAAACGCTAAAGAAGCACGGGCACGGAAGCACATGCCCTCACCTGCGCTAGCACTCCAGGCTAACACTGGTTACTGGTCTAGGCCTTGGCAGATTTTGGGCTCCTTGTTTAGGGTTTCGTGTTTAGGGTTCTCTGGGCAAGCTTTAGCTTTCCCCCGTCAAGGCTTTTGGCCCTTGGGAATGCGATGGGAGTTCCGGAGAGTTTTTCGTAGAGGGGCGATTTGATATCATGATAAGAACACCATGGTGCAAGTAATAACAATAGTAACAATAAATTATCATAATAGATAGGGAATCTATAAAGCAGTACCCCTGATTAGTAAACACCCAAGCCCAAGCACGGCAGTTCATGGACGTGTAGGTGTACAAGTCTTAGGGCATTCCGTTTCTGGTTCCGTTGAGTACCCCACACTATGTGAACATTCCCGTGGAGAAACAGGATTGTATCAACAGTGCCTTGAACTAGTAGCAGTAGTAGTGCAGCTCCTTGATGCGATGTTTCTGTGCTGCTTGCCCCTTCAAGGAACCCAGAGCTCAAGATTAGGGTTTACGGTAAACCCAGTACTACTACTACTACTACTACTACTACTACGACTACTACTACTACGACGACTGCTACTACTTACTGTTACTGCTACTACCACTACGACGACTACTGCTCCGAGGGGCAGTGGGAAGAATTCTATGTTGCCTCGGCATTGGCATTCGCAGTACTACCGACATCGTACATTTGCTTTGATGTTAGCAAGCCCATTCTTCCAGGCATGCGACTGGTTTGTCGTTACGTGCTTCTACTACTGCTGCCACCTTACACCCGAAACCCTAAACTTTGCAACGACTTCTCTTTTGGCGGTGTTGTCGTGGTTCACACAGTTCAAAGCAACCAAAACGGCCAAGAGTCTGTCCGGGAGTGCCGATGGGATACCGCGTGTGCTGCTTGCAAGCCATGGCGGCTGGTGGCCGGATTCTGGGAACAAAATTGCCTTGCTGGCTTTATTGGATTCCTACTATAAGGACTCCTTTGACTTGAGGGTTCTATTGATGATGACAATAGCCCGGAAGGACCAGCCGAAATGGCAGGCAACATGCAAGTGAAATGACTCAGAGCTGGCATACCACATCATGCATGACGCTGAATCAGCAGATGCTTCAGCACCGAAGACAAAGAAGAAGGATCGGGTCCAGCCAGGCTTGGCTGAACATCTTATCCTCCTCCATGAAACGGAGGAGGACGCGAGGTTACAAAGCCCGAAACCATCGATACCCCCACCCCTACACCGGAAGCCCGAGAGGCTAAACCGCTAAACTCGAGCCATCCTGCCCAGAAACTCAGGATCGTCGGAGAAGCCATTCTTGATGAACTTCTTGCCTCGAGCGCGACAGAAAGTGAGAAACCCCTACGCTCCCCAGACAATTTGGGTGTTTAAGGTTTAGGGCTTTAAAGGTTTAGGCTTTCTGTTCGGAGTTTAAGGTAACCCTAATCCTAAACTCCCTTAAAGCCGTAACTCCCTCTAGGCCCTAGAGCCCTAAGAACCGCTAGGTTCTCTACGCGCCTTCACAGTCAGAGTCGGGCCTTGACGAGATCAAGTGCAATGAAACAGGGATCGGCCACCTACAAGGGCTCGGTACAAAAGTCTTTGCCTGCTGCTGCTGTGCCTTGGCTCGTGAAGGCTCCAGGGTGCTTCGCAGCGTTTGGGGTTGAGGAGTTTATGGCCCATTTGCAGAAACTGGACCCTAAACCCTTCACCCTGTCCCGCAAGCCGAGGCACAGTTGTCCCAGGCGCCGCCCGAGTTGGACATGGAGATGGCCAGCTGCACCTTAGCTGTTAGTTGCCGAAATGATCAGCTTGAGGAGCCGTACACTTTCAGCTCCAGGGAACGCTAAACTCTCAGCTTCAAGGCGGAGAGGGCTTCGAAGATCCTGCAAAAGAGCTTTAAGGACGTATCCTTTGGGTCATCAAGGCACCGAGGATCCGAGGGAGCCCGTCAGGAGACCGAAGACGGCCTCTGCGAGCGTGTGGAGGCTTGGGGGGTTCAGGGGAGGTATATCGCGTCCTGAAGGCTTTAGTCTGAGTGGGGCTACTGTTTGGAAGGCCAGTGGAGGTGACATCAGGGAAGATTCGGGTTTAGGGTCTAGGGCGCAGGGTGTAGGACATATAATTCAACTGTCAAGCCGAATTTGAAGAACTATTCAGGCCACACGGGCCGTCTTTTCAAGTCTAAACCCACCTAAACCCTGGAACCCTCTTAGCCTTCAAACCTCACCCCTCCACCCCACGCAAGAAAACTCCTAACCCAAAAACCCCCAAGCCTTGGAACGGAAACCTAAACCCACCCCTCAAACCCTGAAAAGGGCCCCTGCCTGGACTCCGAAGAAGGTGCCGGCCAACAGGGGCGAGAGGATCCTTACGTGAAGGAAAGCTTCTGGGGGTTTTCGGGGTTTAGGGTTTTTAGGGCTTAAGGGTTTAAGGGTTTAGGGGTTTAGGGGTTTAGGGTTTAGGGTTTAAGGGTTTAGGGTTTAGGGCTTAGGGTTTTAGGCTTAAGGCCTTGAGGCTCAAAAGTTTTGGGTTTGGGGGCTTTGGGGCTTGTAGGCTCATGCTTTGGACGAGCATCCCTGCTTGAAGGACCAGCACCTACCCCAGTAACTAGGGCAAGACAATTGTTTATGGGTTCAAAGAAGGGTCTAGAAGGGGTTCTATACAGAACTTTTACCACTTATATATGAAGAAACAAAAATCGACGTTGTAGCACTCTAGGGTTTGGGGTGTAGAAGGGTTCTATAACAAGGCAGGGGTTTTGGGTTTGGGGTGCATTTGAAGGATTATCGGACTTAGTAAACATACGTGCGTGAAGCTCCACCAGAGCAGGAAAGGAAGCATCTGTCGCAGCTCCCCTTCACGCAGGTCAAAAGCCCCCAAAATCACCTTGCCCAGGCAATAGTAATAAGCGTCCCAGCCCAGCGGCACGACTAAATCTGGGGGGCGATTTAAACTGGATGTCATTGGCGGCACGCCAACTTCGCAAGAAACGCAGCGGATGTACGTCATGCCTCCCGACCCCACTCAGGACCCCATGTATGGGCATGGGGGCACGCGCAAGCCGATGTAAAGCTCCTGAAACAGCTCAATGTCATCCTCGTCCCGGCATAATTGCTTGGTGGCCACATGGACGCCAATGCGGCCTTCTCGATCAGTTCCTCCAAAACCAAAAGGCCAGCGGCGGCTCTTTATCAAACACTCGCATAGGTCATTTGATGAATAGACAGTTAAGTAGTCCAGAAGAACCCCTCTCAGCTGGTCCTCTAAAGTCCTTCATTGAAGTAGTGAAGAACAACCCCTTCAAGTCTGGTTGCAAGTAGACATGGATGGGCGAGGGCCTACTGTGCTCCACAACTGCCCGTAGAGATCTGGACGGACGGGGCTGGGAGATCAGGGTTGATGGCTTTTAGGGTTTCGGGTTTAGGGTTTAGAGGTTTAGGGTTTAGGGTTTAGGCTTTAGGGTTTAGGGTTTAGGCTTTAGGGTTTAGGGTTTAGGCTTTAGGGTTTAGGGTTTAGGGTTTAGGGGTTTAGGGTTTAGGGGTTCTCTTTCTTTGAGGACCCCTTGTATTGCCAGTTGCGCTTGTGCTCTTTCCTAAACCATACACCTCTAAAATCGCAACGCCTGAGTCCAAATATTCCTAAATCCTTGAACCTGCAAAGCCCCGTTGAATCCCCTTTCGCACCCCTAAAGTCGTAGTCCAAGTAGCACCAGGCAGGCTGGAGCCACCATCTCGACCAAGGAAGCCTGGAAGACAGGGGTTCAGGGTGCTAGGGTTTGGGATTTAGGGCTTTTAAGGTAATTGTTGGTTTAGGGTGTTGACGGTCTGTACAGGAGTGTTTGAGTGTTATGGGCGCTTGGGTTTATAACGGACCCTAGGACCTAGAATGTACAAAGCTTACTTCATCCCGGATTCGAGAATCCAAAATCCGCAAAAGCCTTTCAAACCCCTTTCAATTCCACTGATGAACTTCCAAACCTCTAAGCCCTATAAATAATCCTTAAGACCCGGAAGAGCCAAAAAAAAACTAAAAGGTGCATCTCTGGACTCTTAAGGAGCGCGCCTGAGTGGAGATCTGGATGCAGGTCAGGGAGTCCGGCTTCAACTCGGTGCTGCCATCGAGCCTTGAATGCGGCTTTTGGTGTGGGGCTTCCGTGTCCTTAGAGTCTGTTAAGCGATTTCGTTAAGAGTTCCGAAAAGATGTCTCTAGGGGCTCTTTAAAAGGGCTTTAAGTTTATGGGCGTCTGGTATATAGGATGTGGGGTTGTCGGGTTAAGGGTTTAAGCCCTTATACCGTATAGAACCGTGCAAGGAACCGTAACACAACCCTCAATAACGGCATCATTAAAGACTGCGAAGGTCCTTCTAAGCCTGTTGGCCAAAAGCCTCCAGCCTCCTAGACCCCCGATATAATAGTCTGCTTGAATAGCAGCCTTCGTTTCCGGTAGTCCCTGTAGGATTAGACCAATTATTCACATATACCCTATCATGCTTGTAAACGTACGGAAAACTTAAAGCGTAAACCCTAAACGCGTATGTAAACCTTCACCCCTTAGGGGTCCCGCATCGAGCCCTTATTTCAATCCCCCGACATTCTCAACACCAGACAAATTGGCGCTCCGATATCGACCCTAAATGGAACAGATGATCCTTTTAAGGACCTCTATACATGTTTCCAAGGACCTAGACTCCCAACGTGTATAACTCATAAAGGAAACCGGTAAGTTTAGGTGAACAGGCCTTTTCTGTACACGCCCCCTCACATAAAAAGCGGAACCACTCCGGCTTCGCAAACCCTAAACTCTAAACCCGAAACCCCCAATAGACCCCAAGCCAAGACCAAGCCAGCGGCAAGGTCTTCCCCTGGGAGTCCTTGACGCTGAACTGCCTGGCCGGAGAGCTTGGATTGAGGTCTCCGGGGTTTGCTTGGAGGTCCATGGGTAGTTATAAGTGGGGTTATAAGTAGCGTAACTATAATTAGAACCCATATTAGCGGACTTATGACTCTACTTATAACTACTCATGAACCTCCAAGTGGAGACCCACAAAACCCCTAAATCCTAAAAGCCAAAACCCAGCAACAAAGATGCTCAGGGCTTTTGGGGTTTATGTTTAGTTAGAGCTCATGCAGAGCCTGTCATCAAAAGCAGGCAAACCATACACCCTAAAGCCTGCGTTGGCGGTATACTTATGGAACGAAACCCCTGTCTGTGAACTTCAGAAAGCCGAAGATTCCCCTCATCTGGATCTTCAGAAAGTCCAGAACCCCTTTCTTTTGGATCCTTTCTCAAACGCTCCAGCCTGAACCCGGAACCCTAACCGTTGCCTTGAGGATTCCTCCAGAGTTCTTGTGAAAATCGAAGGAAGCAATCGTGACACCGTAAGCTCGTATCACACTCTCCTTCTACTTGTGAGGCCGACCGAAGCTGAAGGCTTTCACATGTTATCATACAGGGTTTTTGTTGCATATGGGATAGTGGGTTTAGGGCTTACTTGAAGCTTTGCAAAGGCTTCATGAGGATTTAGTATTGTTCGTACAATAGTTCAGATGCACTGAGACTGCCCGCACAGACTGTTCATGCACCTATGCCTATGCTTGCAATCCGAACATGTTACACACTCTTGCATCGACGCTGCCAGAGTGCAACAGGCCTCTTCACTTCTGCGACCATTTCGCCCGCGGCCTGCGCCAACACCGGGAATCAACAAGCTGGGTCGGGCCTTGGCTGGCTTCCCTGCCGAATCCCAAAGAGAGCCCTCAGAAAATCCTCTTGTAAAGGGCCATTCTGATACCGGCGTAGGGCATTCGGGTCCTGCTGGTCGTTGAGATCCGTCGGTGCTAGCCGAGAAAGGGTGCGGGTTTAGCGTCTTAGGGTTAAAGATGTTGGGGCTGTAGCTGTAGATTGATAAACATCGGATTCTATGTCTCGCACTACTCAGCAGGACCCATGAACCTTTAAGCAAGGGGACCTATCAAGCCTCATAAACACCCCACACAGCCTAATGAATGACCCTACCTTACATGACCCGTGTGCTTTCTGAAGAACGTCCTCGGCGGCTACCGGCATGATGTATCCTATATGGTTTCACTTTTTCCTTGGGGAGCTCTTCCACCTGGCGGGCTTCCACACAAAGATTTCTCTCTCTACCTTACATGACTCTGACGGTGTTCTAAGTCACCGGGGGCCGAAGATCAGAGCCTTAAAGGGCTGGAGAAGGGCCCGTGTTGAGGCCATCATCACCCTGCAGGCTTCAACCCCTGTCTCTGCAAGGAAGGCCCCTTGACCTCCTGCCGACTACGATAATGCAGTTGGTCGAGGTAATGTGAGATTATGTTTAAGGCTGGCTGAAGTGCTGATCTTGGACTTTGAAGCTGCGAGCAAGAACCTGCGACATGGGCCCCAAGCCTTGCCGACGGACTTCATGGTGAGGGCGGCGAACCAGTAGGGGACCATGCAGCCGATGATGAGGAAGGCGAAGGTGACGGGCTCCAGGATGTTGACGCCGGTCTTCACGCGCAGGCGCACGACGAAGGCACCGTAGAGGGCCAGGGAGACCAGGGCGGCGGAGCCGATGGCGAAGCCTTTGCCGATGGCCGCGGTGGTGTTGCCGGCGGCGTCCAGGGCATCCGTGCGGCGGCGCACCTCGGGGCCGAAGAGCGCCATCTCCGCGATGCCGCCTGCGTTGTCCGAGATGGGGCCGAAGCCGTCGATGGTGAGGCCGCAGGAGAGCGTCGCGAGCATTCCCAAAGCCGCCAGTGCGATACCGTAGAGGTCGCACAGCTGGAAGGACACGTAGATGGCCGAGGACAGCACGAAGACCGGCACGATGCAGCTCTTGTAGCCCAAGGCCAAGCCCTGGATAATGTTCACGGCAGTGCCGAACTTGCACGCGGCGGCCAGCTCACGCGTGGGAATGTAGCTGTGGGAGGTGAAGTACTCCGTGACCAAACCGATGATGAGGCCGCCCACGCAGCCCATGGTGGCACAGATGAAGCACTTGAAAGGGCTTCCGGTGATCTTGGCCGGGTGCCCATCCTCCGTCAGGCGCACACCCTCCAGGCGGAACTCCGGAGGGAGCAAGACAACTGCCAGGTAGTAGATGACTGGCAGCATCAGGACGGCGGTGAGCACCATCTGCACCTTCAGCACAGTCTCGATGTCGCCCTCCTCCCTGACGGGTGAGACGTTGGTGGCCACGAAGCCGCAGATGATGCAGATCACGATGCCGGTAGCCGAGATGGCCAGAGGGAAGAGCATGGAGTCCCAGCCGGCCTCGGATAAGGTGTTGTGGGATCCGGAAACTGCGGCCGCCGCGATGACCAGCGCGGCGCAGGTGCTCTCGGCGAAGGAGCCGAAAAGGTCCGCGCCCATGCCGGCGATGTCGCCCACGTTGTCGCCGACGTTGTCCGCGATGGTGGCGGGGTTGTTGGGATCGTCCTCATCCAGGCCGGCAACGACCTTGCCGACCAAGTCCGCACCGACATCGGCGGCCTTGGTGTAGATACCACCGCCGACACGGCCAAACATGGCAACGGTGCTGCCACCCAGGCCATAGCCGGCCGCGCAGTCGAAGAGGATCTCCCAGTCGTCAGCCTCTGGGAAGATGGTGCGGTAGAAGCTGAGCAGCACCCAGAGGATCAGAACACCCAGGGAGCAGAGCGCATAGCCCATGACGCTGCCGCCACGGAAGGCCGTGTTGAAGCCCAGGGTGTAGCCGCTGTAGGCACAGGCCAGGGTGGTGCGGGCGTTGGAGTAGGTGGCCACCATCATCCCCAAAAAGCCGCAAAGCATCGAGGTAAAGGCTCCTCTTAGGGCTCTTTTTTCGAGGTGTTTCTTTCGGGCGCTTAGGGCTGTTAATTAGGGCTCTTTTCGGGTTTTTCTTAGGGCTCTTGAAGTTGAGGGCTTTTTTGGCTTGAGGACTTCGACTCTCCGTGGAGCTGAGGATCGATCTGCTCTGCAGGGCACCCAGACTTCTAAGGAGACTTGTAAGGAGGACTTGGGAGAATCGTGGCGAGAAGAATAGAAAGGTTACGCGATTACGGGCTTTAGAAACGGTACGTCAGAGCTGTAGCACTAGAACAACAGCGGTGGGAACACTGCTGAAAGAAACCCCCAACCCTGAAGCCCGGAGCCAATAGGAGCAGTCGGTCTGCATTGACATTCATCATCCACACGCCACCAGCGATTTCATACCCCTCAACGGCAATCCTGTCAAGAAGGCGCCGGCAGTGAGGTGACCCTGCAGGGTGCTCTTGGTACCCCAGGACCTGATCTCTCAGGCTCGGGGTTCGGTGGGAAAAGGGGGCTGAGGAACCCAAGAAGCACAACAACCAACGAATCTCACAAGTAAGGGATGTTTAAGTAAGGGATGTTATCCCTGGTCCAAGCCAAATCAGCTTTTCAGGAATCCTTGCGAGACGCTCGTAGTTTCTGCCCTAACTTCCCACATCCCCAAACCAGGCCTAAGTTTCCCGAGCACCCGGCACCAGCGCGCTGATCAGGACGGCGAAGGCCAGGCAGAAGGCCGTGCAAATGGCGTACTCCACCTTTTTAGGGTTTAATTGGTTTTGTTTGCTTAGGCTGTAGGGCTGAGGGTTTTGAACTCCACCTGGGTTCTGGCTCTGCTTTGGGGTTTTGATTTTGTTTAGGCTGTAGGCTGTAGGGTTGACGGTCTTATACTCCACGGTTTTTTGTTTGGCCGGTTAGAGCTGTGGATATGGGTTTGGCGATCGCCATTGAGAATGACCCGAGGGTGGGGATCTTTGGGTTTATTGGCCATGCCGACTTGTCACACCCTACATGGGAGTTTCCGAAAATAGGGGACCCTAATATAGTACCCTAAATAGTAGGATCCTTGTTACAAGGTCCCCAAAATAAGGTACCACTAATTTCGGAAACTCCCACATTGCCGTAGGGCCGACAGGAACCCATGGCTGGCACTTTCCACGCGCAGAATTCCGAGGGTCACCATCCAAAGTAGGAGCACTCGCAATTAAAAGAAAAGCTACAAACACCCAGTTACAATCTTGTACAATCCTGCGATACTGTAATGTTGGCTAGGAAGCACTAGATACTGAGGCTCCTTTAGTCGTTGGTGCAGGAGGGTCTGCAAGGAGCTACAACTCGCCCGAACGAAAAGTTGCGGTACAAGGTTTCTGGGTTTGGGGTTTCGGGGTTAGGCGGTTAGGCGACCCTGCATCTCAACCCCCGAGCCTTCAAAAACTGGACGGCGCCATCCATAATCCTCGCAGGATCTGGATTCGGGCAACGCACATTATGCATATACTATAATGTAGAGATGTACATATGCCTATGCATCATGTGTACACGCATACATACATAAGTTACGATGGCGAGTAAGGTATGACATACCACATCCTTACTGTTCAGGATCTTATCCTATCTGACACATCCTCTCTTAAAGTATCAAGTCCCATATGTGCTGCGGTATCAGGACATAGAGGTTGCTGTACACCCCCTCCCATTCTAAGTCAATGCTTTCTTGAGCCACTAACTGGTCCTTGCCGGCGATCTTGACTTGGTGTGCTCCATCTTGAACCCTAAACCCTAAACCCTAAACCCTAAACCGTAAGGAGCGTCACGGCCTCTTGTGCCGCCTCCTCGGTCAAACTCGGGACCGGCGGATGGTTTGCCCTGCGTCCTCGTCCACGGCACCTTCTGTGTCCATGCACCCACGACGGATCAGCTTTATATAATATAATCGTATATTATAGTATATTATAGTATATTATAGTATTTTATAGTATATTATAGTATATTATAGTATATTATAGTATATTATAATTTATAGTATATTATACACGTCTCTCTGCCATTCACTTTGACTTGTCCCCATCGCCGAGTTCAATCGCGATATCGTCCACATGCCCGCAGGCCGGAACGCACCCAACAACCCTCTGAAACCCCATAAAGACACACCCCAAACTCTACTAAAGCCTAAACCCTACACCTAAACGTAAACTCTAAACTCCGAAGCCAGGACGCCTAGCTGCAGGGGCATTAGAAATGAGGGTTTTGAGTTCAGGGTTTGGAGTTGAAGGGGAAAGGTTTACCATCAAGTTTTAAACGCAGCGGCCTTACTGACTAGAAGAGGGTTTGGGGTAGAGCCCTAGCACATCATGAAAAATGGGCTCCAAGAAGATACTGATTCAAAGTGTTCAAACCTCGACAGGAGGGTGCTCCCCGAAAGAGACCATGGATGTCAATTGCAATGACACGAACTACAAGTACCACAAGAATCAGAATTACTTGTCAGTCCACTTAAGCTGGTACTTGTGACCGTACTTACGACCACCAATGAAGTCTTATGAACAAACTGTGAAACCACATGAAGCCAGATGACCAAATTTATAATTTATAATCCACAACCTGCATGTCCCTCCACAAATATCAATGAATCCTCCAGCAGGGTGCATGAGCAAAACATTATTTTGTCCCCGCCGACAAATGGCTATACACAAATCCTGCAAGCCTTGCAAACTTTAGCACAACCCGTACTTTTAAAAGCTCTTTTGCAACCTGCGCATTGAACCGACGACCCTAAACCTGCACCCCTAAACCCTAACCCTGGACCGTTAAACCCTGAACCCCCAAACCCTAAACCCTAACCCTACATCGTCAACATCCCTGAATCGTCAACATTCAACCCTCAAAACTGAAAGCTGCTACAAGTAGAACCTGAATCCCAACCCTAAACCCTCAACCCTAAAAACCCCTAGCCCCAAACCCGCAGCCCTCACCCTACCTGAAAGCCTTCAACCCTGAACCCCCAACAACCCTGAGCTTCCCCAAACTCTTACAGGGAACCTCATCATAGAACCCTATAGTACCCTTACAAGGAACTCTAAAATGACCCCCCCCCTAAACCCTAAACCCTAACCCCTCCCCCCCCCCGAAAGCAGGGTCTTCGCGTAGATCTCCGGGACCAGCTTCAGAGCCTGCTCCTGAGGCAAGGGGTTAAGGGTTTGGGGTTTAGAGTTTAGGGCTGTGAGGGTTTTTAGGGCTACCAGGATTGTGCAATTGCTCTCGAGGGTTCTGGAAGGGTCGATGAAGATTCGTTCATATGAGGCTGTCTTGGGGCTGCGACAGCATGTTTGCAGGGTCTTGCAGACCGGTTTCCAAGACTTCATACCGTGTTTATGTGTTTATGAGGTTCTTGAAGTCGTTTGTTTTTTATCGGGCTCCCTTCAAGTTGCTCCTGTAGGGGTGTTAGGGCTGGGTGGTTCTTTGGGGCTCAGGGTTCAGGGGTCTGCGGGGTTGGGGTTCAGGGTTCGCGGTCGGGGTTTGGGTCAGCGGTTTCGGGTCTCGTGACTATGACCATCATGATGGTCACCATCATCACGATCATCAACAACAACGACAACAACAGCGGCAGCAAAATCTTCTTCATGCGTTGCAGAGATCAGTGTCGAAACAGCGCCGGTTGTGTTGCACTGGCAGAAAGAGATTTGGCAAAACCCATGGAGAAGCTGAATTCCTTGACCGCGACCCCAAAAGCACGTACAGCATTAGACGAAACTATGATGATGTTCCGCAACAAGCACCCAGCTTTGCCCTAATGAATTTCAATGCCAAGGATCGCTGCCACCAGCTGTGAGGCCAGTACTCAAGCTGTCCTGGCTTGATGTTTCCGGGTTTTTTAGGGTTCGATATGGTTTAGGGCGTAGGGATTTTAGGATGGTTGGGATTCGGGATTCGGGATTCCATGGACTTTCTCGCAGTTTCATTCTATGGAATCAAAAACGATTTCTCGAAGTTTGTAGATAGAAAGGGGAGGTTCTCGGCAACAGGGGGTTTGCGATTCGCAGGGCTTCCGGACTTTCCGATTCTTCGCTTTCCGACTTTAGGAACAGGAAGTACTGCCAGACCCGGTGACTTCTGGGACTTTGGTGTTCAGGTCTTTGGGGTGTGGGGCCTAGAGGCCATTCTTCCAGGCTTCGGAGCTAATCGTTCGGTATCTTAGAATGGGGTGTTTCTGAAAAGTTAGGGGTACAATATTTTGGGGTTAAATATTATAAGGATCCTACTATTTAGGGTACTATATCAGGGTCTCCTATTTTCGGAAACTCCCAAATTGCAATCGGGGTATGGCCTACGCCAGGTCTTGTGTCGTGGAAAGGATCCCAGCAAAAGGCTAAACTTTAGAAGGGGCCCCACCCTGTAATAGTGACTATAAGGATTATATTAGGGCGCTATTATGTTCCTATTATACCACTATTACAGGGTGGGGGCCCCTTCTAAGCTAAACTTCAAAACTCCCGAAGTCGCCTTGAGCTGTGAACGAAGACGACTCCTGATCAACATCGAAGGGCATCTACGCAGATGCGGGAGGTTGAAAAGTTGAACAACCCCCTGTAAAACCCAAAACCTGGCAAAAGTCCCATTTCCAAAACCCATCACAAAACACTAAACCCCCAATCCCAAACCCCCTAGCTTGGGGTTTAGTGTTTAAAGCCGCCTTGGAATCCGGAGTGAGGCCGATCTTCCTTGCCGCAAACGGGCATTGTTTGAGCCCTTGGGGGCTTTGGGTCAGGAAAAGGGTGCTGCAGAGGAGTCATGAGACTTCGTATACGAACTCCTGCTGAGGACCTCTATGGGGGCATCCTGGGCACATTTTCAGGAGTTGTAAGCTTGCCGTTCGGGGCTGGGCTTTCGAGCCTTCCGGTTCAGACAGAAGTAAGTCTCTTCGGGCTTTGAAGGCTTCGGGATCAGGATTCTTTGCGTGACCGGCCGTTTCCAAAGCCATAAGATTTTTCTTGCCTAGCAGTGTTGGGTTGATTCAAGCACAAGAAGGGCGAGCAACCTAATTCTCAGACTTCAAACCCTCACACTTTTGAGACTACTATAGGGGACCTTAGGGGACGATCATAGGGATCCTTGGGCTTAGGGCCCACATCGGTGCCTGATGATCAGGAACTGCGCCAGCGCGGCCACAAGGCCTGCCGAAGCTTCGTTTGAGACAGTGTGGAGTTCCGGATCGCTCCGGGAAAGCACTAAAACTAACACTGGACTTTGAAGTAACCAGGGAGAAAAAGGTATAGACTTGTATTTCATAATGGTTCCGTTAAGGAACAGGTACAAAAAGAAGTATTCAAGTATGGTACTCCAAACCCAGGAACACCGGTACAGGCTTACCGGGACGTGCACTCGACAACCCTGCACATCACATGAAAGCCCGAATTCGATTAGACTCGGCTTTGGGCGGTTCCATACTGCATTTCCTTGTTGAAGCCGCAGGGCAGATAAAACCCTATTAAAGCATTGTAAAACTGTATAAAACCCACTAAACCCCATACAAAGCCGTATAAAAACTTGTAAAAACCCTTTATCAAACGTTCAAAACCGCTGTCGCTCTCTAAATCATGCATGTAGTTTGCCTACACACACGCAGGCACGCATGCGCTGAAAGACGCATTCTTTTCCACGGGTGCTGCTCAGAGGCGCGAGGTTGCCTGCGGAGCAGGCGAACATTCACGCCCACTTCAGTTCGGAGCAGTGCCCGATTGGCTACGCAACTATGGCCCATGTATGCTCGTAAATTCGCAAAAGTGCATGCTAGTGACAAATGTTTAGAAAACAGCAACGATGTCAAAGAAAAAGAAAGGTGTCACGTTAAGCACGTCCTATGAAGCGCGTAGGGCGACGACGGGTGCTGAGGAAGCCTGGAACACGATGACAACTTTGGTACTCCCCCCACCCTGTAACGGTCCTGAGTACAAGTCATGGGCTATGTACAAAGTGGGGACAATGCCAGATTCACATCCACAACTCCTGCTCCTTGCCACTACCACTAAACTACTGATCACCATGATTGTTGTTGTTGTAGTGTTGTTGTTATCCTATTGCTTCTGCCTTGCTTTTAGGGCTAACGGTCATAGGCCATAATGCCATTTTAAATGCCGCATCTCCTTCATGCAAGAGCCTGCCCGCCGCATGAGCTGCTATCACCTGCTATCCTCAAAAACAAAAACAACAACCTCGCAGAGGATAACAAACGTACTCATTGCTTAATGACGTCCGCTACTATATCGGGACATTTGGGGCATAAGGTGCGCTAGTCTCTGCTTGTAGTGAAACAAATAAGCTTGAATGAGCATCATTGACATCACGGTTCAGAAAAACATCACCAGTGATCTACAAGTAAGCAGACAGTCTCGTACGGAAGTAGTCCGGTGAATGTGCGAGGATGTACTCTGCCATTACTTATACGAACGCTCCACACTGGAGACTATGCAGTAGGGAAGTAACTCATTGATGCAGATATGCTGTTTGCTGCATTGTCCAATCGTACATTGTCAGTTCTTCTACCGGAACATAGAGTGCTTATAGAGGTAGTTACTCAGATAGTGAGAAAAATAGTATGTAGGATGTAGTCCCGGAGACCGGGGGTCGATTGGACGGGAGTGTACCTCAGATAACAGAGCTCTTGTACCGTTATGAATCTAGTGTGTAAAAAATATATGGGAGTTTCGGAAAATAGTGGGTACCTTATTTTGGGGTCCCCATAATAAGGGTCCTACTGAAAAGGATACTATACTAGGGTCCCCTATTTTCGGAAACTCCCTTATGAATCAAGCGTGGAAAAAAAGATATGTTTACGTAACTGCAGGAGAGACAGGGGACGACAAAGGTGGACGGATGGGTAGCAGTCAACTCGTAACGTCACCCACATGCCAGACGGAGTCCGGAGGAGGGAAAGTGGGGGTCCAAAACAGAACATGTTTGGTTGTCGTTTATTTTTGTTTTGCCCTTCCTGGTTCGGTTCCCTCTCCCAAAGAAGCGAACTTATGACCCAACCGCACATGAATTGCAAATGGAGTTCTGCTGTACCATTGGTCAAGTCTGCAGTTGTTACTTATCAAACTCCAAGGATTTAGAAGGTCATATCACCAGGGATAATGAGAATACATACGTCCAAACTACAGGAAACACGAAAATCATATGTGTGGGAAGACAGGAGCCCCACATCGTACCTTTCTGTAGCATACAAGCCTTTATGGCCAGAAGGCCGTTTACGGCTTTTGAATTATAACATCAAGGAGCCCTAAGGAATGATGTTGGTAACTGTTCAAAGCACCTATGCTGACGACTTTCAGCACCAAGCCCCTTTGCATCTCAGACCTCTTGCAGACAGCGGCTCGAGGCTACGGCGGGACCCGACTGCGACTCGGAGGAAGCCCCCAGTCACCCTTAATCATGGTCCCTTTTTTTGAGCTCCTTGTTATGTCTGCCCCTCATCCAGGCCTATGGTCCTTTATGGACTGGGCCTGCGAGACCCTAAAGTTCCTAAAGCCGTAATCCCTACACCTACGCCGCCAGCAGCAAAAAAGGAAAGCCTGAAACTCTAAACCAAAGCCCTTCCGGCCCTGACACCACAAACCCCAAGACTCTACAAAGTCACCCAGACAAATCGTCCAGAGTGAGAGAGCACATGATAAAACAAACTGCAATCCTACCGTCCGGGAGTTTGGCACGAAGGGTTTCACGGTTTAGGGTTTAGGTTTTCGGGCTTCGGGGTTAGAGGGCTCAAGGGTTCAGGCTCAGCGGTTTATGATAATGGTTTAGGCCTTCAGTGTGCTAAATCTGTGAAGGATTTGTTCGGGCGGGTTGTGGGTTTGCTGTGGAGCTTGGGGCTGAAGAGGTTTCAGTGCTTCGGTGGGGTCCGGGTTTAGGTTTTTTGGCGTTTGGGGGCGTTTGGGCCGTTAGGATAAAGCAGAAGGCTATAGGGCTTTGGGACTTTGGGGTTTTGAGGTCTGGGGCCTAGGGATGAAAGAAGTGCTAGGCTTGTCTCACAGAGCTAGAGCTATGGTGAAGTTATTCCAACATTCTTGCCCTGTCACGCTCACAACAGATGTCAATCGTCCTAGTGTCATGTGCATCGTTGCTATCATCGGCAAGGGTTGGCTGCAAGCTGAGACAAGGGTGCTGACAACTTCCTTCGTGGGAAAATCGTGCTCTATCGGGCCAAATGCTCGGCTGCCAGGCCACTAGACCGGAAACCTACATCCCTAAATCTTAAACCCTACGGCCAAAAAACCTAAATCCCTAAATCCGAACCCCCAGAACCCTGTTCTGCAGATGCCTGGTGCCCATCATAGCGAAACTCGCACCATCAAACCGGAGATGCACTTGGTTGGGTCGAGTCAAGCTTCCCCAACTTCGCGGTTTGAAAGGGAGTGTCGGGGTTTAGGCGCAAGGGCTGCAAGGTTGGGAATTTGAATACTTGATACATTTGTCTGAGGGTAGAAAATCTCAAAAGCGAGAAAAGCCCTGAAGCCCCTGCTACCTGTAGCTCCCAAAACCCACACGAACATCACCACCCCTCAACCATAGAACCCTTCAAAACTCGCTACCCCCGAGAGACTGCCAGCCGTGGGTTTCTTGGGAGAACCCGGAAAATGCCCGAAAGCTCACAAGCGCTTGCCACCAGCTGCGCAGTTTCACGAGCTGGCTTTTGACACCTGGTGGCACAGAAAGACAGAGAGTGAGAAAGAGAGAGAGAGAGGGGGAGAGAGAGAGAGAGAGAGAGTCCTCGCAAATGGTTCAGGGCACATTCCTAAGTTGAAGGTGTTGGGCTCTCTATTCACTCGAGTGAGACTAGACGGGTCGGAAGCTTCCAGGAATCGAGTTTGGCTGCATCAACTAGACACCTACACACTGTAGAATCTATGGAAGTATTGTAAGTGCAGTTATGGACACCATGCAGAAAAGCATCGAAGTTTAGTTGTGTCACCCATAAACCTCTGTAGCTTTACTCATGCTCCTTGATGTAGTGGGGCCTATACAAACGGCAGGATGGTATTCCCAAGGGGCTACGTGTTAACCCTTAAGCCTACACCCGGGGCCCGACACGCCAGACTCTAAAACCTAAAACCCTTCCAACTCCAAAGCGAAAATCCCGAAGCCCACCTATTAACTACCAATAGAAACCCCGTTTTGGAAGCCGTAATCACAGACCCCTTATAAAACATTTTGTGGAACCGAAGACCCATAAAGACACCATAATAAACCAAGCACCTGGCAACTATCTGTAGAACCATACGACAAAGTACAGCAAAAAATGGCGTCCAATCCCTATATCACCCTGGCGAAACCCTGCATGGAATACGATAAATAAACACTGCGTGACCTTGCGAAAAAACCCTAAACCCTAAACCTTAAACCCTATGCCCTAAACCCCTAAACCCTAAACCCTAAATCCTAAACCCTAAACCCCAAAGCAGGAGCTCTTTGTGCTTTTGCTTCTCGACCTCGTGGACCACTTCCAGGGCGGAGGGTTCCGCCTGGATGCGCGGCTTCTCCTCGTTGAACTTGCCTGGGCTTCTAGGGGGAAGGGTTTAGGGTTCCTCGTTGAAGTTGCCGGGGCGTTGATGAGCATTATAACATTTCAACAGTTTCAGGGTTTAGGGCTTCGGGGCTTGAGGGTTGCAATCGGCGTTTATGGTTCTTTAGGGTGTTGGGTCTAGGGCTTCGGGGTAGGGTTCAGCGGGTTGGCGTTTTTAGCAGGTGCTTACGGCTATTTTGGAGTGTTAGGGTTTTGGGCTTGGGTTTGGTTCGGGAATAGGCGCTTACGGTGCTTTTGAGTTTTAGGGCGAGGGTCCATGAAGGTTGCATAGGGTGTTTGAGGGCTGGAGGTGCTTGTCTTTGAAGGACGACGTTATAGGGTTGTTGTAAAGGGTTGAGGGTATGATTGCTTGCTTCACACTGGCTTCAAGGTATTCAGAAGGACCGCTTCGTAAGTCACAGGTGGCACGCCTCAGGGCATGGCAGTGTGGCAGTGTAGACTGCTCAATTACATCACTCTATGAACTCTGAGGAACTAGCCCTAAGAACATAAACCCTTAACCGTCAAACCTTTAAAGCAAGCCTAAACCCTAAACGCTAAACCCCTCAAACCCTGAAACCCTAAACCCCGAAAACCCTAAAACCTGAACCCTAA